CACTCACTTCTCTTGAGTGGCTCGCTCACTCACTCATAGTTACCACTCATCACTCAACATCCTGAGTATGGCGGACGTCTCGGGCGGACGCCTCGTCTGTGAGTGAATTGCGAGGGCGTCTCAGACGGAAGGCTCCTCCCTGTGGGGCCCGCACGTCATGTTCGAATCCGAGGCTGGCCATCGGAATCCTGTGACGGTCGTCACTCTGAGCTCCTCAGGCCTGAGTATGGCGAAATTCTGAGGCGGGAGCCTCGTCTGTGAGTGAATTGCGAAGAAGTCTCTGGCGGGAGCCCACTCCCTGTGGGGCCCGCATTTCATATTCGAATCCGAGGCTGGCCATCGGAATCTTGTTACTGTCGTCGCTTTGGGGCTTTTGAGGCTTGAGTATGGCGGAGGTCTAAGGTGGGAGCCTCGTCTGTGAGTGAATTGCGAGGAAGTCTCAGGCGTGAGCCCCCTCCCTATTGGGCCCGCACTTCATATTCGAGTTCGAGGCGGGTCATCGGAATATTGCAGCCGTCGTCACTTTTGGCCGCTTGGGGTCCGGGTATGGCGGCAGTCTTCGGCGGGAGCCTTGTCTGTGAGTGAGTTTCGAGGAAGTCTCAGGCGGGAGCCCCTTTTCTAGTGGGCCCGCAGTTCATATTGAAAACGGGGGCAGGTCATCGGAACCCTGTCACTGTAGTCACTGTTGGGTTCCTGAGGCGTGAGCACGGCGGATGTCTCGGGCCGGAGCTTCGTTTGTGAGTGAGTTGTGAGGAAGTCTCAGGCGGGAGGTCCCTCTCTATTGGGCCCGCATTCATGTTTGAGTCCGAGGCGGGTCATCGGAATCTTGTAATTGCCGTCACTTTTGACCTCCTGAGGCTTGCGTTTGGCGGAAGTCTCAGGCGGCAGTTTCGTCTGTGAGTGAGTTTCGAGGAAGTCTCAGGCGGGAGGCTCCTCCCTATGGGGTCCGCTTTTCATGTTCAAATCCGACGCGTGTCATCGGAATATTGTAACCGTCGTCATTTTTGGGCCTCTCCAAGCTTGAGTATCGTCTCAGGAGGGAGCTTCGTCTGTGAGTGAGTTGCAAGGAAGTCTCTGGCAGGAGCCCTCACGGGCCATCCTTCCCTATGGAGCTTGTACTTCGCGTTGGCAATCCGAGCGTTGTATGCCGAGCTGGTCGTCGCAAACTTCCCGCGTGTCCGCAAGAATGGGGGACACAAGTTTGACTGAGGGGCTGACGACGACGACCACGAGACAGCGGCCGGGCGCAGGGGTAACATTTTGCGTCTGGGCCAGGGGTGTTAACCCATCCTCGGCCGAATGGTACTGCCTCCCGCCTGAGCGCGGCTGCGCCCCGCTCGAAGCCCGCGGGGTTGTCCCATCGGCGTGGTCTTGCGCGCCAGCGGCTCGCGGAGTTGCCCCGACCGCCTGGCCCGCGGTATTGTCCCAACGGCTGCGCGATATGGCCATTAGAAGATGCGCCCGTGCTGGCCAAGGCGGCGACGGCGCCGAGAAAAATCAAAATGAGCGTTCATGCCAGGAGGACGCAAATGCGCACGAGGAGAATGGACGGGGTGGCGATGAGGAGGGGGAGAAGGAGGAGGTAGATGAGGAGGAGGAGGACGAGGAGGAAGGGGAACATGAGGAGGAGAGGGAGGAGGAGGAGGAGGAGGCGGAGAAGGAGGAGGCGGCGGAGGAGGAGGAGGAACAACGAATATGATAATACACGCAGCCAGTAGGACGATAAGGAACAGGAGAAGGAGGATGAGGAGAAGGAGGATGAGGAAGAGGAGGAAGAGGAGGAGGAGGAGGGGGAAGAGGACTCAGAGGGCGGAAGAACGGCCTCCGCCAGTCGAACAAGAAAAGGGCGAGAGGCAAGCTAAATGGATTCTCGTGTGGGGTCCTACCGATGGAGTAACTTGAGAACCAAATCGTTACCCCTACGGGTAAGCAGAGCTCCAGCAAGCGCGGGTTTGCCCCACGGGGCCGGAGAAGGTGCTGGGATTGAGGCGGCGGCGGCAGGGGCTTCCACGGGGCCGGGGAAGGTGTTGTCTTTCTTGGTTTGCTTCCCCAGGTTCCTCTGGGATCTTATGGGATCTCTGAGGAATCCCAAGGGATTCCTTGGGAGGAACCAAATGCAATCCCTTAGGAATCCCATGCGTTCCAGAGGAAGCCGTCAGAATTTCGTCAGAATCCGACGGAATTCCTATGGAATCGGATCGAAGTCCTTGAACATCCTATGGGATGCCTTGGGGATCCAGTGGGGTTCCTTAATGGGGGGGGTCGATCGAATTTCTTTGGCATCCGATGGAATTCCTATGGGACGTTTGTGACTTCCTTCGGGCTCCAATGGAAGTCCTGGAGAATCCGATGGAATCCCTTTGGAATCCGATGGAATTCTTCGTGGGGAATCCGATTGAATATCTTCGGAAGCCGATGGAATTCCTGATGCATCCGATGGAATCCCTTTGGAATCCGATGGAATATCGTAGGGGAACCCGATGGAATTCCTCAAGGGGGGGACCCGATGGAAGTCCTTTGGAATCCGATCGAATTCATCAACAATCCGATGGGATTATTCAGGAATCCGGTCGGTTGCCTTAGCATTTCTCAGGACTCTTGAGGAGCCCAGCGGGTTCCTCAAGATTCCTGAGGAGCCCCGAAGATTCCTAAATATTCCGTCGGACATCTGAGGATCTTTGAGAATTCCTCAGGACTCCTGGGGATCTTTGAGGATTTCTGAAGATCCCTCAGGATTCCTTAGAATCCCTGGAGATTTCAGGAGATATTTCACGATTCATGACGCGCCCAGAGGATTCCGAAGGATTCCTGAGGACTCCTGAGGGATCCTGAAGATTCCGAAGGATTCCTAAGCATCCTTGAGGTTTCCCGAGGAGCGCAAACACGGGGCCGGAGAAGGCGTCAGCACAGGTCGCATGAAGTGAGACATGGTGCCGGTGCGTGCGTTTGTCCACTGGGGCGCGTCGCCGCTTTTGCAGGGGGCCCGCCGCAGGGTTGGATGAGTCGTCGTCACAGAGTAAGCGCCAAGACAAAACGAACGGGGGCTGGAGTGTCCGTTGCTCCACCGGGGTGTGACCGTTGAGCGTCCCGTGGCCGGAGTCTCTGTTATTCCGTTGTTGGTGTTGTTGTGTTTGTTGTTTTTGTTGTTGTTGTTGTTGCTGCTGTCGGTGCGTATGTTGTTGTTGATGTTGTTGGTGTTGTTGATGTTGTTGTAGCTGTTGGTGGTCTTGTTGTTGTCGGTGGTCGCGTTGTTGGTGGTGGTATTGGTGGTGTTGTTGATGTCGTTGCTGCTGCTGTTGTTGGTGTTACTGTTGCTGCTGTTGGTGTTGCTGTGTACGTTGCTGTTGTTATTGATGTTGTTGTTGTGCTGGTTGGTGTTGTTGATGGTGTTGTTGCTGGTGTTGTTGTTGTGGTTGTGGTTGTGGTTGTTGTTGCGGTTGTGGTTGTTGTTGGTGTCGTTGTTGCTGTAGTTGGTGGTGTTGTTGCTGTTGGTGTTGTTGTTGGTGTTGGTGTTATTGTTGCTGTTGCTGTTGCTGTTGCTGTTGTTGTTGCTGGTGTTGTTGTTGTTGGTGGTGGTGCTGTTGTTGTTGTTGTTGGTGTTGTTGTTGTTGTTGTTGTTGTTGTTGTTGTTGTTGTTGTTGTTGTTGTTGTTGTTGTTTGGCGTGTTGTTTTTTGATGCTGTATTTGCCGTTGTTGATATGATTGTTGTTGTTATTGTGGTTGCTGTTGTTTTGGTTGTTGCTGTCGTCGTTGTTGTTGTTTATGATGCTGCTGTTGTTGTTGTTGTTGTTGTTGTTGTTGTTGTTGTTGTGAGTGTTGTTGTTGTTGTTGTTGTTGTTGTTGTTGTTGTTGTTGTTGTTGATGTTGTAGTTGGTGCTGGCTGCTGTTAATGGTGTTGGTGATGTTGTTCGTTGAGGTGGGGCCGATGGCCGTCCTGCACTTAGTGAACACTTGAACGATTGAGGGGGAGGAGGAGGGAGATGAAGGATGTAGAGGAGGAGGGGCGGAAGGGGGAGGGGGAAGGGGAAGATCGGTCGGAGCGACGAGGATGAGGAGGAGGACAGGACGATGAGGGGAGGAAGAAGGAGATGATGAAAGAAACGAAGGGAGGACGGGGAGGAGGAGGAGGAGGAGGAGGAGAGGACGGGCAGGACGAGGAGGGGGAGGAGGAGGAGGGAGGAGGAGGAGAGGAGGAGGAGGAGGAGGAGGAGAGGAGAGGACGGGCAGGACGAGGAGGGGGAGGAGGAGGAGGAGGAGGAGGAGGAGGAGGAGGAGGAAGAGGACGGGCAGACGAGGAGGAGGGAGGAGAGGAGGAGGAGGAGGAGGAGGAGGAGGAGAGGAGGAGGAGGAGGAGGAGGGAGGAGGAGGCGGAGGAGGAGGAGGAGGAGGAGGGGGAGGAGAGAGAGAGAGAGAGAGAGAGAGAACATGGGGAAGACAAGGGAGGTGGGTGAACGATGGGAGGGGTGAGGTGCCGGAGGGGGTGCCTGAGGACCCTCGAGTTTTTCCCGCGACACTCGAGACCTCCTTAGAACGCCTTGCACTCCGTAAAACCCTCGTCGGCCTCTCCCCCCCCCTCCGCCTCCTCCTCGGGGAGTTGGGGGAGGGAGGGAGAATAACAGGATGCGGAGGGGGACGAAAGAAATGGTGGGATGAGGACGAAGTCGAGGAAACTAGTAGGAAGGGAAGGGGCAACGTGAAGACGGGGATCAGGGCAGAGAAACAGGAGAGGGAGGGAGTGGGAGAAGCCATATGAGGAGAGGGAGGAGAAACAGGCGCAGAAGGGGAAGGAGAAGGAGAAGGAGGACGAGGATGATTCTGAGCAGGAGAGCGGGGACAGTGGGAAGTGGGATGAGGCCAGGAGAGGAGGGTGGAGGAGAGGCAGGCTGGGAGGCGGAGGAGGAGGGGAGCCCGCGGAGGAGGAGGAGGCGGAGGAGGAGGAGGAGGAGGAGGAGGAGGAGGAGGAGCGGTACGACCGCGGGGGGGGGGGGGGTGGTCCCGAGGCCAAGCGCGCCGTCGTGCGGCGGAGGGCAAAGGGCCTGGTCGTGGCGCCGAACCTGGAGGCGCCCGGGGGCGCGGGGGCGCTGCGGCGAGGAAGCGGCCAGCGTCTCCCTCCTCACCATCATCACCATGGTAATGATTGGTGTCCTCCTCCTCCTTCTCCTCCTGCTCCTCCTCCTTCTCCTCCTCGTTCTCCTCTCCTACGCTCGTCTCATACCCCTTCTCCTCTGACTCATCCTCCATATCTTCCTCTATCTGTTTCTCCTCCTCCGCCAACTCTTGTGGAAAAGGGTCGCATGGGCATGTGGACTGTATGTGATGTTTGTCCAGTTTTGGTTCCCGCCGTGTTCGCTCGCGTCGGTAAGTCAGTCAGTCAGTCAGTCAGTCAGTCAGTCAGTCAGTCAGTCAGTCAGTCCAACTCCCATTCCATCTCCACCTTGACATCTCCTCCATCTCCTCCTCCTCCTCCTCCTCCTCCTCCTCCTCCTCCTCCTCCATCTCCTTCTTCTCCTCCTCCTCCTCCTCCTCCTCTTCCTCCTCCTCATCCTCCTCCTCCCCCTCGACGCACGCTGCACCAGCGGCCGGGCATGCGCGGCGGGCGGGCCCGCAAGGTCTCCACCGCCGAGGGCGGGCTGGACGACACTATCGAGGAGCGCCGCCGCCGTCGCCGCCTGCAGCAGCAGCGCGCGCGCGGAGCCAATCGCCCGTCCCAGATGGTACATCAACGGAGGGACAACGTCGAGGTTTGGAGTTTGAGGGTTTCGGGCGCTGTCGCCATGCGAACCCTGCCACAGGGGCCTTTGGTGGACCTCCCTATGGAGCCACGAGGCGTGCGGAGGGGTGGGGGAGGGCCGACATGGGGCGGGGCCACCATGCGAACCCTGCCACCGGGGCCTTCGGTGGAGCTCCCTATGGGGCTACGAAACATGTGAGGGGTGTGCCGAAATGGAGCGGGGCCACCATGCGATCCCTGCCACTGGGGCCTTCGGAGGAGCTCCCTATGGGGCCACGAAACGTGTGAGGGGTGTGCCGAAACAGAGACACGCGGAGGGCAGAGGCACAGAGGTGGAGGAGGGAGGAGGGGGGAGGAAGAAGGAGGAGGGAACGCGGGGCGCTATCTCTTCAAAACGAGGACCCAACACCAAAGGATGGTTGGGAAGAAAGAAAGAAACGGAGTAACTCTGGGAAGCTCACATCGCAAAGTCGAGGGCGTTGGTCTCTGACACCTCGTGCATCGCCCAACTTGTTAGATCGCGGCTCGTTCGGTATCGATGCCAGACAACTCCAGGCCACCAGCGGCGTTCAGCCCTGACCGCCGGCGGCGGGGCCGCCACCGCGTCGACGCGGCGCGAACCCCTGACACCCTTATATCCGCCAATATAATTCTTTCCCGACGCTTCCCCAGAGACAATCTTTCGCGCCCGGGGCCTAGGACAAGCCCCAGATGTTAGGAACAAAACCGTGACCGAAGAAATCATATAGTCAGAGATCTGGGACCCTGTCAGAAAGGCATCGGACCACCCATGCCTGTAGGCTGGGCCCGGGGGGGGGGCTGGAACCAGCGATGCACATCGACGATAAGCCCAGGATGGCGAATCCGCACGTTCCTGGGCGGGGTGGACTATCGAGCTCAAATCGGCGATGAATGGGCGACTGCTGGTCAATGCATCCCCACTTGAGCCTGCTCCCTAATGGCTAACGTTGCCCCTGGCTTTCGGGTCATAACTCAGCACTCCGGCGGCCGTTCGGGACGATCTGGGCACCCCCAGAACGATCTCGGCGAGGCGCAGCTGCGGGAACTCGTCCCGAGGCCAGAAAACCGCCGAGGACCGACGGCCTGACCTACACGCAGGTCGCCGCTGGAGGGGACCACACGGTGCTGCTCAGGAGCGCCGGCACCGCCGCGGCTTGCGGCCGCAATAATAGTGGTCATTGCGACCTCCTGGCGCTTGCCCTCGGGCCTGACCTACAAAGCGCACTTGCTGCCAGCGTTGCTCTGCAGGCGTCGCTCGATAGCGGCTCAATGGTTGTCGTGACCTTTGGAGGGGCGGACAGATGCAGGATCAGGGCGGCGCCCACCGCCCGCCTCGCAGACATCTACCTCCAGCTCGTGGCCGAGCACCGCGCGGGCAGGCTGGGCCCCGGAGCCTGGTGCGTCGAGGCGATCCTGCCGGGGGGCCGCCCGCTCAGCAGCGCCGCGGCCCAGGAGACGGTCGTTGGCGGATTTCCCGCCGCAGCCTAGCCGTCGCCGAGGTGAGGGAGGGCGGCGTTCGGATAAACAGAGCGCGTGCCATTTGCCAGGGCAGGCGCGCGACATCGCCGACACGGTGCCGACCCCATGCCTTCCCGTGCCGACGCGATGCGGCCCTCCAGCCGCAGGAACGGCGTCGTATGGTTGTTTTCTGGACGCCGTGCTTTCTTTCGGGACGTGGCCCCCGCCCAGGCACCCCATGGCTTCGAATTTTCTTGACGCGCGCCCCCCCCGCAGGTCTGGAGCTTTTTCCGGGTACCAGCTTCTCACCTCGAGTTGGCCCTGTCCACGGTCCCCGGGCGCGGCGAGGGCCCCAGAGGCCGGGCGTCGCGAAGCACCTCCGCCTCGAGGCCCCCAAAGTTCGGGGGCAGGCCTCGGCCCTGCGCGGCCCCAGTCGCCCAGGCACCGCCCAGGATGGGCCCGAGAGGGCGCGGGGGGCTCAGGCCGCCCGCTCTGCGGCCCGCGCGCCCGTCGCGGCGCTCCTGTGGAGCGGCATGGGCGTCGCGGCGGCCTGTGCCCATCGGCTCCCGGACCCGGCAGAGGAACGCGCGAGCCTTCCATCGATCTCCCCTTCCATATGGGGCCTCCTCAGAGGCCCTCGGCACCGCGGCTGGATCCGCCCACCATCCGACGCGTTTCCGATGCGATCCGATTTCGCGATTCGATCCGGCTCAGTCCTACCTTGCAGGCTTTCTGGGCCTGCGCGAGGCTCCGTTTCTGCAGCCCCGCCTCCCGTGAATGACAGATGGACGCGGACACAGATTTTGAACGGAGTTGGCTTCATCCCCCCCCTGACAGATTCTCTGGGGCCCCAGCCAGTTCAGACCCCTCTGCCGCCTCCAACAGGAACAGATCCCGATCACCATGAGTGGCGTTACCTTATCGCGGCGCCAATCGTAAGGGTTTCCTCAGTTCCAGAGGGCACATCCCTAAGGTTGTCGTCGCCCTGGGTTTGTCAGTATAGGGGTAGGGGTAAGTTCGAGCTTGGCAAGCAGGCCCACCACGAGCCCAGCATCAGGAAGTCGATCTTAGGGGTAGGGATAGGCTCACGGCTGGTTAAGTTAGGCCAACAACGCAAACCAAACAAACGGGTTCGATTGCGTCGGTATTCGCGCGTAAGTTGTTTGTGTGAGGTCGCACGTAAGTACCTTCCCTTCCCAATGTGGCATGCCGCGCTGGTCGCCCGAGCGAGCCACCGCCAGGGTTTGTTTGACGCGCAAAGTTGCATCACGCAGATCGAAACATATGTTGTTGCTTCGAGCGGCCCCCACCGACACCTTCAGCGCTTGTTCCCGACGGCGCGCGGTCGCCTCATCGGTCGACAGCCGCCTCTGGAATCAAAAACGGGTCAACCGTGTTCCATGTACCAGCGCTATTTCATGGCACGCTCTATCATGTCCTGTTCTGTTCCCGACGGGCCGGCGTGACGTCGCGCATGTGACGTCAGATGCGCCGTCTGTTAGGATGTTCCTCTGCACTTATCTGTTACTCTTCTGCTTGAGTATGTTATGATATGCTCATCTCTGTCACCATCTGCTTTGCGATGTGCACTATGAAGCACGTCTGCTCATCTCTGCGTTGAGAGTCTGTTATGATATATGATCTCTGTCTTTATCTGGTATGGTTTGCTCTGTGGCACGATGCTAAGACATGATATGGTATGTTTGCTGGTGTTCATATACATATGATTGGATATAGATGCATAGAAATAAGGTATACGTATACATGGTTGTTGCTGTCGACCTGCACATGTCCATGCATGTGTTTGCCTACTGGCGGCCTGCTCCTGTTTCGCTCACATTCTGCGTGCCGACCTCTTCCCGTGCGCATCGTATTGGTTAAAGGAGTGCTACGGGCGACGCGAAGATTAGGGAAACGAGCAATGACATAAACATAACAACTCGGAGGTCCGCGCGGATTTCTGGGATCGGCGCTGCGGCCCGCTAGCGGCGCCTCCGGTGCCGCCCCTGGCGCGCTCCGCGCGCCAGGGAGGGGGGTCCAGCGCGGGTCCAAGAAATCCGCGCGGACCTCCGAGTTCTTCTGTTTGCCATTATTCGTTTTTCAATATTTGTCTTCGATTTCTTCTGCCGAAGAACCGCCGGAGGGCTCCCCGCATCCCGGCGCCACTGCCGCCCGCAGGACCTCATCGAGGCCCCGCCGGCCCGGGGCCCGGCCATGCTCGGCAGAGCGGCGCTGGCAACCGCTCGCTCACCCGTGGCCCCCGCCGGCCCGGGGATCGGTCGACGGAGACGCGCCTCACCGTTGTCGGGAGCGGCCAAGAGGGGGGTGATGACTAGGGTCGGGCCGGACGAAAGGGGGGTATAGGGAAAGGGGGGGTTACGAAATCTGCTGCATGCAGCTGGTTTTCGGCCCCACCGAGGGGCCCATTCCTCGATACATAGCTGTCTCCGGCGCCGGGAGGCGCTTGGAAAATCAGTTACGTGAGTCCCCCCCTTTCGCCCGGCCCGATAGGGGGGGTGGATATCATGGCGTGGGCCATGCTATTTCCTCAGATTTCATGGCGACTCTTTTTATTTCAGTACTTCCCCGGCCCCCCCCATTGGCCGCGCATGTGCTGCCCGTCATGATTTGCCGCCCCCCCTCTTGGACGCCCCCCTCTTGGCCGCCCCCGACGTTGCCCCGCGCGCGCGCGCTGAGGGCCAGGACGAGGATGCGGATCACAGGTTGTTCTGACCCAGCTCGCGGATGCCTCTCATCCAAGGCGGTGGAGAAGTAGTCCGAATTTTGTAATAAGCGTCGGGGGGGCGTCACCCCCGCCGACAGCCCCACATCAACCCCCGTCGCGGGCAGCCACCGCGCGCCGAAGGCGCTCCGACCCTAGTCGCGGCGCGACGACGAGGCGAGGTTGGCCCCCGTCGGGGGGGTACCCCCCCACGCTTATTCATTAGACCCAGGGTAGGCGCCCAAGCGGTGGTGTATAGTCAAAGCGCAGCGTGATGCTCGGTTGTCCAAGGCTACCCTTGCACCCTCGTATGTCGGCCCATCTCAGCCCTCAGCACGAAGTCGGGCCTGTCCTCTACAGGAGGAATATGCAAAAATAGTAAAAAAATTGTCTGGGGACTACTTGTTTAGTATTGTTTGACCATTTTGATTGTTTCACTCTTTTTGATTTTTCCCCCAAGATCCCCCTGTAGGGGGACATGCCCGACTTAACCTAAGCACTGGGCCTTGCAGGGGCCTCCAGCCCACTTTGGTGTCCGAGGGCCCTGCATCCTCACCGGGCATCCTGTCCTCCGGTCGCACTTCGGGGGCGGCCAAGAGGGGGGGTAGGATTAGTTCGCGCCTGTCCATCTACAGGGGGAATGCTCAAAAATAGTAAAAGAATAGTCGGGGGACTATTTTTTGATTACTCTTGCCAGATCCAGGGTACCCTCGTGTCCTGTGTCTTTCGACCCATGTCTCCTGCATTTCTGTGGCAACGTGGCCCCCGGAAGGGTCTTGTGTCCTCCCGCGTGTCCTCTCCAATCAAGTCCGATTGTGGGACTAGGGGGGGGGGGAGACCATGGCGGGGGCCGTGAGATCTCCCCAGATTTCATGGCGCCTCTTCTTGTTTCAATGCGTCCCCGACCCCCCCCCTTGGGCCGCGCACGTGCCGCCGGCCATGATTTGCGCCCTACAATCTTGGACGCCCCCCTCTTGGTCGCCCCCGAGAGGCTGTCCTCCAGGAGCCCAGAACCTTGCGGTAACGGACCGTGCAGTGAGGTCAGTGGTAATTCCGAGGTCACCGCACGGTCCGTCACCGCATTGTCTTAGGGTTAAGTCGGGCACGTCCGTCTAGAGGACGAATATTCAACAATAGTCAGATATAGTATGGGGGCGATTTGTTATTGTGCGTTACCTCCGACGGATGGGTGTGGGGACGAGGATCGACTGGCCCGAGTTCTCATCCCACCGGCTCCAGGCTCTGGGCCCGGTGTCCCTTTGGGCGGCAGGGGGCGTGGCCTATCGGAGAGCGTGATTGCCCGCAGGCCCCAGCCGCCGCCGCCGCCCCCCCTTCTCCGCTGTCTCGTCCACTTGGGCACGCCCCCCACCCGCTGCGCCGCCCTGCCTGGCTGCGGGTAAGATGGGCCCTCCAGGGGAAGCGGGGCCCGAGGACTCCCACCGTGTCGGGCCTTCCGAGGGCCCCTCCGATCTAGGCCTCCTGGATGGGGTCGGAGCAGATGGGGTCGGAGGATCTTGCCGCGTCGCCGATGCATTGGCGATGCATCGCCGATGCGGCCCGATGTGGGGCCCACTTTTCTCCACGCCGACGTCATCGATGCATCGCCGACGTCGCCAGTGCATCGTCGATGTATCGGCGATGCGGCGAAATCCTCTGACCGCATTCGCTCGGACCCCTATCTAGGACAATCTAGGAGGCTTTTATCCGAGGGCGCCAGGGCCGTCAAGACGCCGAGCTGCTTCTTGACGGACGCCAGAGCGTGGACGTGCATGCGGTGGCCGCTCGTGAGGAAGGGAAGACAAGAAACGCCAGCATCAGACCATGGGGGCGCAGTCCAGAATTGCACGAGGCGGCCGTCTTCTGCCGGAGCTTCTGCCTGGGCGCGGCCTTCCCCGGCGGGCCCACCCTAGGGGGAGGGCGCTCTCGGCAGACGCTCAAACCGTCGGGAGAGTGGAGCGGATGGTTCGGGCGGGGCCAGGGGGCAGGGGGCGCGGGCTCGTCGGCTTGGGGCCCGCGGGAGCTCCTGAGGGGGGATCTTCAGGGTGCGTCCTGCCGCCTCGGGCCACTCGAGGGCAGCCAGGAAGCGACCAGGCCGGAGGCTGCCAGATGTGGTTCTGGCCCACAGCGCCCCCAGCTTTTTGCGCCATGTTGGAGCTCCTGGGGCCCTCTGGGCCTTGTGGAGGGTGCTCCTGAAGACCATGTGGTCCTTGAAAAAGCTGGGGCTGGGGTCGCCTCCGGCAAGGCAATACTCTGAGTACATCAATCGCTCTGGGGCCCCGGACTACAAGGGCTCCCCGGACTTCAAGGGCCCTCCTCCCGGACTACAAGGGCCCCCCCCTGGACTACAAGGGCCCCCCCAGACTACAATGACCCCCCCCGGACTACAAGGGACTCCCCCCCCCAGACTACAGGCACCCTCCCTCGGACTACAATGACTCCCCCCCAGACCACCCACAGCCACCACGTCAAGCACGAGTGCCACGGACTGAACCACATGCGTAAGGCCTCACCACAATTTCATCATCCTGCGCGTTTCCTTCCCTCTTCCTCCTCCCTCTTCCAGTGCTCATCGTCGGGGGTCGGCGCGGCCAGGCGCGCAACCCCCCAACGAAGCGGTGTCCCGCGCAGATGGTATTGCAAGAGCCCCGGCCCCCCCGAACTACTAAGGCCGCCCCGGGACTGTTGCGCACCTCAGAACTAGTGAGGTACTCAGAGTACACCCGACGAGGGGGGGCCTCCAAAGGGCTCGGCGGGGCGTCCGGGCAGCCCGCAGCGGGAGGGTCGCCCGACCTGGCCTGGCGCACACCCCCAAATCGAAGCAATGTTTTTTTTTCAACCGCTGCAGTAATTACAGTATACGATTTGCAAGTGCAAGCCTTCCCTGTGGGGACTTCCGAAACGTTGTGTGCCGAAGCCTTGGGTGCGATGAGCGTTGAGGGGCTTCCAGACAGCCCGCAGCGGGAGGGTCGGCCAACTTGGGCAGACCCCTTTTCAACTGCCCTCACGGCCTGGTCAGCTTTCGGCCTCGGAGCCAGCGGCAGCGTTCGCGCTCGATCTTGCGGGCTTACGACGGCAGCGCGTTCCGCTTGCCACTCGGCGCCTCCACGGGCCAGTTAGAGCGTGGGCCCCTAAGCGTGCCTCCTCTCCTCTCCTGACTGGGGCTCGACACGATCGACTCGCTCGTGGGATCGGCGCGGTCAAGCAACTCTGGCGAGGTCGACGAGAGCCATGAGTGAATGACGCATGACGAAGCGGAGGAGGCGCAGGTCGACAGCCCTGCCTCTTGTGTCTGGCGGCTTGAAGGGCTGCAGTTGGTCGCTTGGGTTTGGGCGTGCTGGATTCGGGATACGCTTTCCGTGCCGTGCAAGCCACCTTCCAGGTTTGCCCCTCGTGGCTTCCAGGCCAGCCGAAGGCCCGTCCACACACAGACACACACACACACATTCGAGGCGGGCGGGCCCCTTGGCAGGCCGCCACGGAGAACGAGGTGCCCGTGATCTTCGCCCTGAGCAGGAACCGGATGGGCAAGGCCTCCGCCCCCAGCTCAGCGATACGCACCAGTCCGCAGAGGGAGCGGGGCCTTGCGCTACCAGCCTGGAACACACCCCCTGCCCATGTGGTCGGCATCACCTGGTCTCGGTGTATGATGTTCCAACCTACGTTAGCCTTGTTCACCAGCAAGAATTCCGAGCACCAGGACAGTACCCACAAACTGAAGGGTTTTCACGTGTTGGACCCTGGGAGACACTCGTCCGACACTGTTTCGATACTCTTTCGACACTCTTTCGACACTTTTCCCGGTGCTCGAAATTATTTCTGGGATGTGGTCCTTAAGTACGATGGGAGCCCCTGTCCCTGTGGTCGGCATCACCTGATCTCGATGCCGATCTGAAGGATTCCGTCAGCTCCTGAGGGCTCGTCTCCAGGATTGTCGTGTCTTCTGGGCTTGTGGATATTTGGGGCAGTTTTCGTGGCTGGCTACGATAGGTGCTTGCGGCTGTGTTGCGCCAGCGACGCAGGCGAAGACGTTCAAGGTTAAACTCCTCAAGCTAGAGCGACGCGGAAGCACTGCGGGGCACAGCAACGCCACAGGACCCCGCAGAATTCAGCTTGGAGCGATCGGGGCCGCGATCGGCTCGAGATTGAGCGATCGACGTGGTGTCAAAAACCTTTGCGCGCGCCGGCGCCGCACGAACGTACCGCACCGAGGGCAAGGGTTCGGTCGGGCCTGTCCCCCTACAGTGGGAGTTCGGACGAAAAATGATAAATACCCCGAGAAGATTCAAAACATTTAGAACCATACTTTAAAATTCCCCCCATATTATTTTTTGACTACTTCTGAATATTGTAGGGGGACAGGCCTGACTTGAGGCAAGGGGTCCCGAGGCGTCCGTCCGCGTCTGCCTGCCTGGGGCCCTCCTCCCTGGCCCCGCCGGCCCGGGAGGAGCGCCCCAGGGCCCAGGACCCCCGAATGGAGTCGGGCCTGTCCCTCTAGAGGAGGAAGATTCAAAAACTTAGCTGGCTCGATACGCCCGTTTTGAAGCGCAACACGTCCCGTGTTCGAGACGTCCGTGTCGATACGTTGCGTGTTGGCTCCACGTATTGACCACGTTCTGGCGAATGTATCGCGTCGGACCTACGTTTTCAGCCTACGTGTTGAGCTCCGTATCAATACGATACGTGTTGCGCGTTGCGTCTCGAGGCAGCTAAGTTCAACAATAATCACAAATAGTCTGGGGACGATGCTTTCAATATTTTGGTTTCCCATTTTGGGGTATGTTTTGCTTATTTCTCAGCTTTCGTCCCAAATCCCCCTGTGGGAGGACAGGCCCGACTTAACTCTTGAATTGTGAGGCCACTGAGCACAAGGCAGCCCCCAACCCTGGTAAGGCTGAGTTCGTGGTCTAACGCAGGTCCCTAAACATACACATTATTCAATTCTTCAAAGCTCTTTGTTTTCTAGGGGGGGGCACGATCTTTTCATTTTTAATTGTTCTATCCTTGGCCACTTCCTGGCCACTAGGGGGCCGGGAAAAAATAGAAACGAGCACAATTAGAAATGAGCACGATTAGAAATTAACGACGTGTACGGAGATCAGGGATATCTAGGATAGTAGGTCCCTATCTTAGGTCTTCTAGGAGTATCAGGGATAGCCCTAAACATATGGGTGGCTTCGTCGTGCACATCTACAACACTGACCCCCTTTATTATCCCTGACGCTATTGACCCTCATGGCTTAGGCCCCCTCCCAAAAGGGTTAGGGTCTTACGGTGAGGGGGTGTTGCAAGGCCGCGTCCCTCTCGCCGCCTGGAAGTCTCCAGAGGTGACTTGAGGCCTCCGAAGGGTCTCCGGAGGGTTCTGGAGGCACCCACAGGCCCCACGAGACATCCCGAGGCTGCAGGGGCCGAACAAGATTTTGAACAGAACGATCCTCGAACCTCCTCCTCCCTCCTTTCCTCCTCCTCCTCCTCCTCCTTCTCCTCATCCTCCTCCTCGTCCTCCTTCTCCTCCTCCTCCTCATCCTCCTCCTCCTCCTCCTCCTTCTCCTCCTCCGTGCGCGCTGCCAGCTGGCACGTGAAGGAGGAGCGGGCCAGCAGGCAGCACGCTGCTTGCCGAGTTTCCGCCTCGGCAGGCTCGCAGGCCCAGGCATTCCCCGAGAGCGAGCGGCCGCGGGCCCAGGCACCGAAGAGTCAAGCAGTGGCGAAGCGTCCTAGCTCGCCTAAAGCCCTAACAAACAATGTTCTAAGAACCTTTTGTGGCTTTCATAAAATGTTCTTGGAACATTTCCGGTTGATATTGTCTTGTTTTAACACATCGGGTTTACGTTCTAAGAGCATCGTTTCTGCCATTGAAACATTGGTGGGTTCTCAGAATATTTCGTGGTAGGACTATAGGAAGACCGGGACGGTCGGTCCCTGCTCAAAAAAAGGCGTGGATGCCAGGGGCACGCCCGATCCCGGGAGCGCAAGTCGCGGCCGAACGTGGCCCAGCGCATTTTTGTACGAAGCCAGCGTCAAGTCGTGCCTGTCTCTCTACAGGGGGGGAGTATATATAGATATATATAAATTGACAAGTGGTCTAAAAATAATCTGGGGACGATTGTTTGATTCTGTTTGAGCATTGTTGGAGTATGTTTCGACTATTGTTTAAATTGTTCTTCCAAGATCCCCCTGTAGGGGGACATGCCCGATCTAAAGCCAGCGGCCGCAGGCGCGGTCCGAGGCGGTCGGCTGGCATAGGGGCTCACGCCAGCGACTGAGGCCGGACGCAGGAGCGTCGGGAGGCAGAGGGCCGCGGTGCCAGCGCAGGGGCGGGGCAGGGCAGAGGAGGAGGAGGAGGAGGAGGAGGAGGAGGAGGAGGAGGAAAGGAAAGAGGAGGAGGAGGAGGAGGGCAGGGCAGATGAGGAGGAGGAGGAGGAGGAGGAGGAAAGGAAGGAGGAGAGGAAGGAGGAAAGGAAGGAGGAAAGAAAGGAGGAAAGGAAGGAGGAAAGGAAGGAGGAGGAGGGCAGAGTAGGAGGAGGAGGAGGAGGAAAGGAAAGGAAGGGCCCTACGCGAGCGGCCGGCGAGTGCCCAGGGAAGGCCGCGGCCTCCGAGGACGGGAGGGCCTGCCACTCTGTAGACAGGGGCTCCCAGTCAGGAGATCGGCATGTACGTAGATGTCTCTCCCTCTCTCTCTCTCTCGCTCTCTTTCGCCCTCTCGCTCTCTGTGTATGTATGTGTATGTATATATACATATATATACATATATATATATATATATATATGTATGCATGTGTGCATAAACAATACGTCGCGCCCCGCAATTGCAGATAAATAGTGAGGGGGCTGGCGCGGGGTGGGTCGTGGGTGGGTCGCGGCTGGGTCGCGGGTGGGTCGCGGGATGGGTCGCGGGGTGGGTCGCGGGGGTCGGGTCGAAGGTAGGTCGCGGGCGACGACGACGACAACAACTACAACCATCATTTTCAGACTGTTCGCTCTTGCTTCCTCGCTTGCCACTCAACACGTATATCCCAATCCCTGGGTACCCGCCTTCTTCGTCTTCGATCGTAAACCCTCTTGATGGTAGATCTCCCCCACCTGCCGCGTGTAAGTGGCGCAGCCCCAAAACGAAAGAGGGAGGGGAGGAGTGAAGAGACGAGGGGGAGGGAGAAGGATGGAGCACGAGCCAACATTGCAGAATCATAACCAGCCCGGCGTGTCAGGCGGGCGGACCCTAACAGGCAGGTCAGGCGGGGCGGGCCCTGACGGCCAGGTTGGACGGGCGGGACACCAAAGCGTGAACCCATCATGAATGAAGTTTCCAGCGATAACGTCATTGTCAAGTAAATCATTAGGAAATCCAGAGCGATAGCGTGATTTATGAGTCGTGGGGACACTGCGCCGCAATTAAGTGTGAGGAGCTACCACGCGTGAGTGCAAATCCTGCATACAAGATGAGGAAATCCCCGCGCGAGAGCGCGAGTTTGAACTAGATCGTGAAGACGTATCAGGCGGGAGCCGCTGTTGTTGTAAGCTGGGGGCCAGGTGCGCATTGTGGTCACTACAGATGTTGAAAAAAGAGCGCGCCACGGAAGAACCATTTCGTTTGAAAATAACAAAATGGTCACTTCGGGGATCAACAACCATGTTATCGAACAGTGGGAAATCAACAACAGCAGCAACACCACCACCAACAATAAACAGTTTGATATTGCTCGCTCCTACCTGCTCGCATGCCATCCACGTGGGGATCTTACTGGAATATTAGTGGGATTTTGTTTTTAATTCTTCGCCCAACATCCCCCTGTAAAAGGAGTATCGCCTCCCAGGGCCCGACGCGTGAAAACCCTCCAGTTTCGCTACAGTCTGGGTGCTCGAAACTGCTTCTTGTGGTCAAGGCTAAAGTAGGCTGGAACATGGTTGCCCTGGTCCGAAATCTGGGTTGATCCAGCCTATTCCAGCTTAATCCCGTTTAATCCCGCTTAGTCCCGCTTAGTTCGGGTTGACCCAAAACGGGGTCCAGCGACAAAGGGGTGCTGCAATAGATTTGGTGCAATAGATTTGTGGAGTTGCAATACATTTGGGGCGTGCAGTACATGTCGGGGCGCACATGTATTGCTGGACTTTCGCGTGTAATACGTTGCTTGCAATACGATGCAATACAATTCTCTGGCGCAATACATTTGCAATGCAATTGCCCCAAATCTATTGCACCACCCCCTTGCAGCTGGACCCCCTTTTGGGTCACCCAAGTTAGTCCCGCTTGATCCGCGGCCTAATCCGGCGTAGTAGCCCCTCAATCGGGTTTAGTCCTCCTTTTCCGAGAAAGACCTCGCAGTAGTTGCATCCGAACATCTTGGTGCTAGCATGGTGACTGTACTATGTTTCATGGCGCCAACATCGCAGAGCGGTGTTCATTTGAAAAACATAAGGTTGGGCCCGGAGTGTCCTAGAGAATTTCGTTCCGGATTTCGAAGTGAATTTCGTGCGGATATTTTCTGGGCCAGGAATGAATACAAAAACATCCACCCGAAATTCACGTCGGTCTTTGCTTGCCATGTCGGGGTGTTGCACCCAGAGAAATCCACGCAGAAATCCGCTGCAGCACGTCTGCAAGGCCAGAGCAATGATATGTTAGTGTGCGACGTGTGCCCAGGGAGCCCAGTGATTTCACGAATGCCGCACTGCTCTCGACAGGCTTGGTTGTCCAGTGCCCGAGCCTGAGCGAAAGTCGTGCGGGCGCCAGGCGATTCATCGGTCGACCTCCACGACATTGGGGATGTTGGGTTCAGCGTTGGGGAGCGTGCCACTGTCGGCGGGACGCAGAACCGTGGCGTTCTCAGCTCACGCCGCTCCAAACGCACCGACGTCGAACGTCGCGCCCATGTGACTGTTCTACCCCTCGGCCCCGATGTTCCCCCATCCTGTCGACGCGTGGCTTTTCACTCGACCGAGCGAGCTCTTTCCCCACAGACGCGCGCCCGAACCGCGCCGAAGGCGCTCGGTAAGAACGTCCGCCTGAGCATCGTGTGCGTGGTAAACACAGAGGGCGTCCATCCAGAGTTCAAGCAGGCGCGCCCAGCGTCTCGTGCAGGGCCCGGCTTTGTCGCACTGAGTTCGAATCCGATTCTTGCGTTTCGATGTCAATGTTTTGGGACTTCTGCTGAGGCCTTCGTCGTCACATTTGAATTCGCTTCAGCATCCTCGTCAGAGGGCGCCCTGGGAGATGCCCATGGAGAAGCGGTGTCGACACCGTTTGTGTCCACAGGGGTGGGGGCCGACATGATCAGGAAAGATCACGTTGCAGCCACGGTTTCTCGAGGCCCCTTTGTGCTACAATGGGTGCGTCAGAAGTGTTGCATGATCGAGGGATGTATTGCCAGCACGTGGGTCATTGCAATCCCGCCTCGTTGCCTTCCGTGGTCCCCGTCTCACCGTGCACCGAAGACCCCACTGCCCCTCCCTTGCCCCCCTTCTTGCCCCTTTTGCCCCACCCCAGACCCCATCGCGTCGTAGCAATCACGATGGGATGTACGCTTGCGTTTGTTCTACCTCATCGGGCCGCCAGACCGTCAAAGAACGGCTCGAGACGAACGCTGTGCCTTGTGGAATGATCCGGACCTCCAGGGGCCCAAGTCGCCAGAAAAGCATGACGCCGTGGGTGTCTGGGACGGTTGCTCCTCATGTTACCCCCTCCTTGCCTCAAGTCGGACCTGTTTCTCTACAGGGGGTAGATTGAAAAATAGTCAACAAATAGTCTGGGGATTATTTTTTGAGTATTTGTGGGCATCTTATGAAAAATTGTTGATTCTTTTCATTTTTCGTCCACAATCCCCCTGCAGGGGGGCAGGCCAGGCCTTATCCCTACCATTCTTGCCATATCCCTGCCTCCGCGCCCCGCTCAGACCCCGCGCGAGGCCCGCCGCCCCGCTGGTGGCCGGGGGGAGCGGGCGGGCAGCCCCTGGCACGGCCGAGATCGATCGGCAGCAAGCCCGGCGTCAGCTGGAGGGAGGTGAGGAGAGAACAAAAAAATACAGACACAAATTATCGTCGACTCCCGGGAAAATGTAGGAAAACACGGGAAGTGGGGAGGTAGACAATGACCCAGAACATATTGGAGAGTATGGGGAATCTTGTTATTTGTGTCTACTTATGTGTGTGTGTGTGTGTGTGTGTGTGTGTGTGTGTGTGTGTGTGTGTGTGTGTGTGTGTGTGTGTGTCCCAGGGCCCCTTCAGGAGGGCCGATGAGAAGCAGACATACGCTGCATGTCTCTTGTGGAAGCCCGCCTCCACGTCCTCACGGTGGTTGTGATGTTACTCGGAAATTGAAACATACATTACCAGTGGCGGGTTGCTTGTTCAATTCCACGACTTTGTAAGGGTCAGGGTCGACGTCGGGGCGGTGTGGTGTATACTTTTCCACCATTTTCCAAGGGAAACAACGAAACATGTATATACCAGGATCCCGTATACACCAGGATCCGCGTTCCTGTGCGAATTTCAGCGCAGGGTCGGAGAAAGCATCGGTGTATAGAGTTCGTTTCCCTAGTTACTTGCCTCCCACCTTGCCTAGACATCTGCATGCTTGCCAGGGTCGTCGGCTTCGGTTCAGGTGAGGGAGGCAACATGTGTACATATACACATATAATGGACACGTTCAGGGCTGATTATTTTCCCCCTTCCCCTCCTCCTCTCCTTTTATGAGATTATGTGGTTCGTCTTTCCTTGATCTTGCCCCATCTGAAATGATTGTGGGTCAGAGTGCGTAGTAGGGTACCAGCGCAAGTTTAAGCCGAGCCCGGTCCTTCAGGTGCTGAAGCTGGTGGACGACCTACGAAGGTGCGAACCGGCGCTCTTTCTTGTCCTGTCATAGTGTTGATGGCGTTTTCACGGTTCGCCGAACTTCCGACATCCAGTCGTCGCGGAAGTAATAATGCTAACACTTGTTTTTGTTGTTCCTCATGGGCCCCAGGACCCCCACGGGTCGGCCTGACTTGGACCACTATGCGCAGAGTTGGGGTCGAGAGAATTCCGATCGCTGTTTTGTTGCGAAATCATGGCTCTCATGACGGCGGATGCCAGGGTCGTCGTCTCCCTGGCCCATTTCGTTATTGATCTCGGCCGGCCCGGTCCAATTCGAATCCGATCCCGATCCCGAGCCCCGATGCGGTAGATGCATTTTTATGACCCGATGCAGTGTCGCGGTTTGATGTTGATTGGTGTTGGCCCCACCCCTGCTCCCAAACCTCTCCCCCGCTCGTGCTAGATCCTGGCTGTTTCTTCAGGGGGGGCACACATGGGGCAGTACCCGCCGCCGCCGCAAATTGGGGAGCCCCAAGCGGTGCGGTGACCACACCGTGTTTCGAATGCAACTCCTGGGAGGTCAAATTCTGGTTTTGCCCTGGTCCGAAATCCGGCTTAATCCCGCTTGATCCGGCATAATCCCGCTTAATCCCGCTTTCTCCGGCTGAATCCGAGGCCCACTCCGGCATAACACCCCCCCAATGGGGCTTAGCCCTTTTTAATCTTCAATTGTTCCGACGAAAACATCCCAGTAGCTGCCTCCTAGCCGTGTAGTGAGTCAGTGGGGATTCTCGGGGCTTTCCGACGTGTTCGTCGGTTCTTGGCTGTCCTCCAGCCTCGGGGCGCCTCCCAGCGGCCGCGCCTCGCCGAGGGCCTTCTCCGGGGGGCCCCCGAGCGTCCCGAGGGGCCGCCGGAGACCCGAGGCAGGGCCGCCCGAAAGCCAGGGGAGCGGTGGCCACACCGCGTGGTTCAGGAGGGAAGAAAACACACAGCCACAGCGAGTCCTCGATTCTTAGCAAAGTATGGGAAGGGGGGGAGGACAAAAGCCCAGAAAATGTGGGGAAATATGGGGAACCCTGTTAATCTGTGTCCATGTGTTTGTGTGTCCCAGAGCCCCTTCAGTGGTGAGTCAGTGGGGGCTCTGGGCAGCCGCACGGTTTTTGTTAGGCTGCGGTAGGGGCTTCCGGGGGGGGGCCCACAGAAAGCAGTGCGGTGACGGGCCGTGCGGTGAGGTCTCTCGGGATGTCGAGGGCACCGCTCCCCTTGAGAGGAGGGGCAGGACGCTGGAGAGGAGGGGCAGGGGGCGGAGGAGGAGGAGGAGGAGGAGGAGGACGATGGAGAAGGAGGAGAAGGAGGATGAAGGAGGAGGAGGAGGAGGAGGAGGAGGAGGAGGAGGGAGGAGGAGGAGGGTGAGGAGGATGGAGGAGGAGAGGAGGAGGAGGAGGAGGAGGAGGAGGAGGAGGAGTAGGAGCAGGAGGATGGATCAGGAGGAGGATGGAGGATGCTCGCGAAACATTGGTTTCTTGCTTGCCCCCCAAAACCTGAGGGACCCACGAACTCGGTAGGAGTTTGCGTCAACGTTTCCTTTTGGTACGCAAGCAACGTTTCCATTGTCTGGATTGCCACCGCTACCTCCTGCTCATTTCTCCTACTCCTGTTATTCCTCCACCTCCTCCTCATCATCCTATTCATCATGATCATCATCATCATCATCATCATCATCATCAGCAGCATCATTATCATCATCAGCATCATCATCGTCATCGTCATCGTCATCGTCACCGCCACCATCACCACCGTCATCATCAGCATCATCATCGTCATCAGCATCATTGCCATCATCACCAACAGTATCGTCATCATTATCATCATCATCAGCAGCATCATCATCTGCATCATCATCACCATCATCATCATCATCATCATCATCATCATCATCATCATCATCATCATCAGCATCATCATCATCATCATCATCATCATCATCCTGCATCCTGTCCCGCGTTGTCGCTCGTCCCCCGTCCTGCTTCTCTTCGCTGTCCTTCACATCGCCTGCCTCGCCCTGCTCATCACCCTCCCCCTCCCCCTCCTCGTCCTCGTCCCCTTCCCCCTTCTCGCTCGTTCCTGCTTTCCCTATTCCTCGCTCTCCCGACCTCTCCCCCTCCCGTCTTCGTCGTCGTCGCTGCAACGCGCGCACGCGCCAGGCGCATGTTGCACCCCACCCCCCAAGTCAGGTCCCCCTCCTGCAGCCCCGTGGACACGTGAGAACGCGTGCCCCGCGCGCACCCGCCAGACACATGCTCCCCCCCCCCCCGCCTCCGCGCACGTTTCTCTGTGTCTGTAGAATGGAGCCCCCCCCCCCAGGTTGGGCTCCCCGTCTGCGGCCCCGTGGACACGTGAGAACACCCGCGCGCACGCGCCAGGTGCATAGTGGACCCCCTCCGCGCACGCACGTACACGCGTAAGAGGAATCCGACGCGCCCGAGGTGGATCCCCCCCCCTTCGGGAGATGGACACGTGAGAGCGCGTGCCCTGCGCGGACGCGCCCGGCGCATGACGGGCCCCCCTTACGTGCACGCATTGCCACGCGTGAGGTGTCCGACGCGCCCACGCTGGCCCCCGTGAGGGGGCTGTGGGCACGTGCGAACGCCCGCCCCGCTCGCGCGCGCAAGGCGCATGGTTCCCCTCCCCCTCTGCGCGCGTATTGCCGCGCGTCGGGAAGCCGACGCGCCCAAGTCGGGCTCCCCCCTGGGAGGGAGGGGGCCGTGGACACGTGAGAACACGTGCCCCGCGCGCGCCTGGCGCACGTTGGCCCCCCCCCCCTCCGCGCACGTATGTCTCACGCGTGGAGATTTCCGACTCGCCCAAGTTAGTCGGCCCCCGCTCTGGGCGCGACAGGACGTGCCCCACACGCACGCGCCAGGCGCATGTTGGGAGCCCCTCCGCTCCGCGCACGTATTGCCACGTGTGGAGAATCCGACGCGTGCCCCGCGCGCACGCGCTACGGTAGATTCTACCGTAGGCGCATGCCGGGAAACAGCCCCTCCGGGCACGCATCGTCACGTGTAGGGAACCCGACGCGCCCATGTCGGGTCCCCCCCCCCGCCTTTTGGGGGTCGTGGACACGTGGAAACGCATGCCCAACGCGCACGCGCCAGGCGCTTGTTCCCACCCACCCCCTCCGCGCACGTACTTCCACGCGTGAGGAACTCGATGCGCCCAAGTTGGTGGGTCCCCCCCTGGGGGCCGTGAACACGTGAGAACGCGTGCCCTCCGCACTCGCGCCAGGCGCATGTTGCCCCCCCCTTCCCCCCGCACCAGGCGCATGTTGTGCCCCCTTTTCGTGCACGTGTTCTCACGCGTGGAGAATCCGACGCGCCCAACTTGCGTCCCCCTGCCGGAGGGCCGTGAATGAGTGCAAACACGTGCCCCGCGCACACGCGCCAGGCGCCTGGTGCCCCCCCTCCCTTGTGGGCGCAAGTATTTTCACGCGTGGAGAATCCGACGCGCCCAAGTTGGGTCCCCGTCGGGGGCCATGGACACGTGAAAAGACGTGCCCTGCGCGGACGCGCCAGGGCGCATGTTGCCAGTCCCCTCCGCGCACGCATTTTCATGTGTGGCGAATCCGACGCGCCCAAGTTGGGTCCCCTTTGGAGGCCGTGGGCTCGTGAAAACATGTGCGTTGCGCGCCCGCGCCAAGCGCATGTTGGATCCCCCCCCTGCCACGCACGTATTGCCACGTGTAGAGAATCCGACGCGCCCAAGTTGGGTCCCCCGCTGGGAGCCATGGGCACGTGAGAACGCGTGCCCCGCGCGCCCGCGCCAGACGACTGTTGGGACCCCCCTTTCTGCGCACGTATTCTCACGCGTAGAGGATCCGATGCGCCAAAGTTGCCCCCCCCCCCGGGGACCGTGGACACGTGGAAGAGCGTGCCCCGCGCGCACGCGCCACGTAATTGCACGTGTGAAGAATCCGGCAATCCCAAGATGGGTCTCTACTCTGAGGCCCCGTCGTGGCTAGAAACATGTGAAAACACGTACCGAATGCACGCGTGCCGAGACTTCTGTTGGAGGCCCCCTCCGCACACGTGTTTGTATGTGTCCAATTCCGGCACCTGTTGCTCGACACCCTTCTGGTGGCAAGGCCTTCAGCCTGAAAACTAAAGGAGAAGCCTAGGCCGAAGCCCTTTTCGGGAAACAGTCCGTCATCGCCATTTGTTTACTGACCGCGCCTCTCATCGGTTTCAGCATACGATGTCCCTGTCGGGCCCCGTCAGAGGTCAACGAAATCTCTCAGCAAACGGTCTGGGGAGGGACCAGCGGACGGCAACGGCCCGAAGTTCAGGGTCTGGGTGGAGCTTGGGGTCAAGCCCAGTCCTGACACCCCACAGGAGCCTGCTGCAGCGTCCTCTTGATTCTGGAACCCCATTTTCCATCGAGACGCTTCCCTCGAGACGGCGGCTGCCACCAGAAAAGGGGACATGTCGAGGAACAAACAGATATCCGACGACATGTCGTTTTTGTAGACCCTCAGCTTCACCTTGATTTCAGCTTCCAGATGTCATTTTCGGGCCCTCGGATTGTCAGAGAACGATTCCAGGACGAGAATTCCCCCCCCCTGCAGGGGGGAGGTCAGGCAGGACCTCGCGGGGACCTCAGCATCCGCCGATCTGATGTTTCGATCCGCGGCCCCAGAGGCCCCGACCGCTTCGCCGGGGAGTAGTTTCTCGTCCCGGACCCGTTTCTGACGGCCCCCGGGGCCCGAAAACGGCCCCCGAGGCCCGACGTCGAGGAAATCCCGCCAGTTGAAGAGCTCATCCAGTGGGGGCGCGCATCGAGAGACCATCTGCTTTTCGTCAAGGTACCCTGGGCTTCTTTGCTCCGCGCGCTGCGCGGTGACTTCCCGCAACCGCTGAAGAGCTGCTGCGCTCAGGACGCTCAGGTCGTCACCTCGCGCGCGGGTGTTCAGGGTTGGGTTTCTCGCGAAGGTTTCCTGCTGCCGCGCCCGCACTGTATCGCTGGAGATCTGGGGACCCCCCATGAGCAAGATAGCGGGGAGTGGTTTCTCCTCCCGGATCCGTTCTGGACGGCCCCCTGGGCCCGAAAACGGCCCCCGAGGCCCCACATGGAGGAAAGTCCACCAGTTGAAGAGTTCACATCGCTGGACTTGGTATCGCTCAGACGTGTGCACTTTTTCCCGGCGGGGATTATTCAGGAGCATCCTGGATCATCCTGCGAAAAAACCACGCTCGAAACCGAAAAAAACACAGGGAATGGACGACCGAGCGACGGGGAGTGGATATCTGGGGACACCCCCAATCGGCAAAACCACGGGGGCAAAGCCGCCAGATGCCCGGGGAGGAGGAGGCGAGGAGCGGCAGCGGCAGCAGCCTCGGGGCGACGAGCCCGCCCCGCTCGCGGGAGCCCACTCCGGGAGCTAACCCTCGACGTGCCAGCCGTCGTCGTCGTCTCCGTCGTCGTCGTCGTCGTCGTTGTCGTCGTGGTCCTCGTCGTCGTCGTCGTCGTCGTCGTCGCCGTCGTCGTCGTCGTCGTCGTCGTCGTCGTCGCCGTCGTCGTCTTCGTCGCGGCCGCCCATCCCTCCCCCCTCCCCCCTCGCCCTCACCTCCAGGTTTCGGGGGCCCCCAAAGCATGGCCACACCGTCTGGTGAGCGAGTGGCGATTTGGTGCTTACGAGCGTGTTCGTTGGCTTCTGGAAGTCTTCTTGCCTTGGGATGTGGTTTAGCAGCTGAGCCGGGAGGGGGTGCCTAGAAACTAGACATTCGGAGGAGGGCCAGTGTGGTGCTGCTCGTTTGGGGTATCTCCATGGTGCCTCGGGTCTTTGGCGGAGTGGCTCGTGCTCTCGGCGCGTTCTCTCGTGGTCACGCTTCGACCGAAAGTAGATCAGGAGTGGAGTAAGTTCCCACCCACGCAGTAACAAGTCGATTGAGGGAGTCTGCACCAGTTAACTCGACATTGGTATTCGAGAGTACCGGTGCGGTCCCAAGTCGATTTAGCTGATCGACGTACGTCTCGCCAGATACACTCGCTTGTTGTTGGACGTCGCTTGGCTACTCCGCTGTGGCCCACTCCGAAGGCGGTGCCGTGCGCACGTGGAGTGCACATGGCAGCTGTCACTCAGGGCGTTTTGCTCAAGGGTGATTTGTCAATCTTCAAGAAGAAGAGCAGCCTTTTAGATGGGGTCGGAGTGGATGGGGCCGAAGGATAGCGCCCCATCGACGATGCATCGGCGATGCGGCGCGATGCGTGGCCCGATCTTCTCCACGTCGACGTCGCCGATGCACAGCCGGCGTCGCCGGTGCATCGCAGATGCGTCGGCGATGCATCGGCGATGCGGCGTGATGCTCCGAACCCATCTGCGCGGACCCGGTCCAGGAAATCTGTATCTGGGTTGTTCTGCCAAGCTTCGAAGAGAAGGAAGAGCGGCCTCCTGGCGCGGGGGAACAGCGGGGGGGGAGGGCGGCCCGCCTCCACGCGGCCCCGTCCTCCGGCGAGGCAGTGGGTCATCAGGCAGATGTCCAGGCTCACGGCCGAGGACCATGGGCCTGGCCCCATGCTCGAGTCGCCCCGTCCCCGCAACGTATAATTGGATGTAGGTGCATACAGAGAGCATGCGTATGTATAGAGAGCACGCGTCTACAACATATTGGAGCACACATGTACAAGTGGCACGTGCGTGCCCTGGCTCCTTAACAAAGAGGTGTAGCACGTAAGCATCGCAGGGAATTGACAAGAGGAGGACTGTAAAGTTTGATCCGACGAGGAAGGAGATGGATCAGCAGAGGGAACTTGGGAAATGGAGGGTACTGAGGATCGATCACCAGGGGGCTGTTCGGAAGGAGGTGCAGCAGCGGGATCGCAAGCGAACGCAGGTGGGGTTGCCACACTTTAACATGTGTGTGGCGCATGAGGGCTTTCCACACCTCACGATTGCAGTTGCAAAGAAGCTTCGAAGCCAATGGAGGATGTGTCGAGCGAAAGTGTCACGCGGCTGTTTCTCCACGAGCGACGTCCACCATCATGGCTGTGTGTTGTGGCCGTGACGTCGCGATCTGCGTGAGAGGTGCGTCCGATTTTCAGAAGTTTGAGGACGTCCTTAGCGAGACGGCCAGACCAATCTCGAACGGGTCGAACCCTAAATTAATTTCTCGGAGAGGTGCGTATGACAACGTATACATATACGCATACAGGCAAGCATATGAAAGAGCGTGTTCTGCCGCTGCTGGCAGAAACTGGGGGGTTGTCACTTGAGCTTTCCAACCCGTCCACCCCTCCCCCCTCGAAACGAAAACCGTGGGGGGTCACTGGGTGTCCCCCCCCCCGCGGTCTATCATGAAGAAGGGGGGAGGTCATTACCAGTTCGAATCCCCCCACCCCCCACTCCTCCCTCGCCGCTGGCAAACGACTCCCCCTCCTCCCCCAATCTGGACAGTGAGACAGCGGTGGGGACAGTAGGGACAGTGGTACAGTGGTGTGGACAGTGGGGACAGTGGGACAGTGGTGGTGGTGGGGACAGTGGGCAGAGTGGGACCGTGGTGGGGACACTGGTGAGGAGAGCGGGGACAGTGTGACAATGGTGGGGGCCACTGGTGGAGACAGTGGGGACAGAGGTGGGAACAGTGGGACAGTGGTGGGAACAGTGGGACAGCGGGACGGTGGTGGGGATATTGGGGACAGTGGGACAGTGGCGGGGACGGTGGTGGTGAGGACAGTGGTGAGGGGACAGTTGGGACAGTGGTGGGGACAGTGGGGACAGTGGAACAGTGGTGGGGACGGTGGTGGTGGGGACAGTTGTGAGGGCGGTGGTGAGGACGGTGGTGAGACAATGGGACAGTGGTACAATGGGGACAGTGGTGGGGACAGTGGGGACAGTGGGACAGTGGTGGGGACAGTGGAGACAGTGGGATAGTCCAGTGGGACAGCGGTGGGGACAGTGGGGACTGGGACACTGGTGGGGATGGGAACAGTTGGACCGTGGTGGGGACAGTGCAGTGGTACAGTGGTGGGGGCAGTGGTGGGGGCACTGCTGGGTACAGTGGTGGGAACAGTGGTGAGGACAGTCGGACACTGGTGGGGACCGTGCAGGTGGTGGGAACAGTGGTGAGGGCGGTGGTGAGGACAGTGGTGGGGACCCGGGAGTCGCTTGCCGCCGGCGAGTAGGGGGGAGGAAGGGGGGGTTCGGACCGTAGTGACCCGCCCGGTTTTCCGAGGTTTCCTGGTGTTCTGGAGGGGGGGGGTTGTGAGGGAAGCTTTTACCAGGGGACGCCGGGGGGGGGAGGGGTTCGAGCAGGGGTAGGGGGGATTTTCGGAGGGGGGGGACCCTCCGGGTTCCGGAGGAAGAGGGATGGGAATTTTCCATAGCAGAACGGCAAAGGATCACGCTCTCTCGCATATGTCTATGTTTGTATATACTTCTACTTGCATGTACGGATGTTACATGCAGAGCGAGACATCAAACTCACCCTCCTCCTTCCGCGTCTGTCCCTCCCCCTCAAGGGCATGGGCGTTTTTTTGTGGAGCGCGCACGACTCCGGCGTTCGTTTTGCTTCGTTTGTGTCCCTCCCTCTCCCTCTGGCCGTTGTCCATCCTCCCCCGTCTTTCGTCACCCCTCTTCTTCTATCCCGGTTCGTCGCCGTTGTCGGAGTCGGTTCAGGAGACCAGCAGGATGGGTCCGTCATTATATTAGTTACTTGTGACGCTGCTCTTAATGTACAGACGATCATGATCTGATAGAGGTAATGGCGATGATAGTTCCATGACCCTTCGGGTGATGAGGAGAATGGGGGCAGAGGCACTTGCATGTCGGGGTGAAGTTCGATTGCAGTTGTATTCGCGTTGTGATGCTCATTTTGATGTGCACGTAAATGTGCGTTTCGACTTGCATCTGGATGCGCGTGCCGATTTACATTTGGACATGCATGCAGGGCGATTGCAATTCAATTGTCAATGGGTGCAAATTCCGATGTGGGTTTCATTTGTATGCTTGACGCTTCGCGTATCCCCACCAGTGTGACCCGGACGCCGCTTCCGCTCCCTGTCCGTTGCTTCGGAGCCGCCGACCAACAAAAGTATCCCCACCAGCGCCGTCTGAGGTGGCCGGCCGCGTTTCTGTTTTAGCCAATTAGCCTCGCCCGTGGCTCGGACGTTGCCTTCGCCACATGACCGTTGTCTTGTGGCCGCGACCAAAAAAAAGTATCCCGAGACAGATCGCCAGGCGAGTTGCCTTGATCAGGGAAGTGTTGAATCATCCAGTGTAGAAAACGCATTGGAAGCATCATCTCGGAGGACTCTGGGAGCCATCTTGGGGCTCTCTTGGGGTCCTGGCGGAGTCTCGTAGGGCACTTGTGGGACCCTCTCGGGGCTCTTTTGAGGACCTCTTTGGTGCTCTTTGGGGATGTCTGGGAGGCCTCTTAGGGTCATCTTGGCCCTCATTGTTCAAACAGGGGGGGTCTCAATGCGCCCCCCCCCTCCCCCTCGGAAGCTCAATCATGTCTTCGTGGGGCCCGCTTGGGCCGCTCCTGGAGCGCTTTTGGGCTTGTTTGGAGGCTTGCTTGGGGCCCGCCTCTCTTGGGGCTACCTTGAGGCTTCTTGGGGCCACCTTGGGGCCTCAGAAGCACATCGGACGCGAAACAGCGAGATGGCGCAAACCACAAGACAGCTCGCCGCTTGGGCCCCACCGCCAGCCCAAACGGCGAGCATACATCTGGCATAGCCCCGCACGCATTCAAATGGCCACACCTCGTCCTCGTACTACTCGTATTCCTCCCCGTCGTCCTGCCCATCCAGATCGTCGTCGTCCTCCTCCTCCTCCTCGTCCTCCTCATTTTCCTCGTCCTCCTCGTGCTCCAACTCGCCGCCGTCTTCGTCTAGGAACTCGGCCTCGTTTGTCCTCGTCATCCTTCTGCTCATCCTCCTTCTCCTGGCATGTCGTGGGTGTTTGTCTGCGTGGTGCGTCGTGTGACCCCCATGACTCTTCTCAAAGGTCGGCTGCGGACGGCATAGGTTGCGCCTTCGGGTGCCGAGAATACAACCGTCCCCTAGTGGTTGCGCCATATGTTGCGCCCTCGGCCGCCGAGAATAGCACCGTGTCCTCTTGGTTGCGCCACAGGTTGCGCCGACAATAAATCCGTCTCCGATTGGTTGCGCCATGGGTGGCGCCCTCGGCGGCCGAGAATAAAACCGTCTCCTACTGGTGCGCCACAGGTTGCGCCCTCGGGTGCCGAGGGTACAGCCGTCTCCTACTGGTTGCGCCATAGGTTACGCCTTCGGTGGCCGAGAATAAACCCGTCTCCTATGGGTTGCGCCATGGGTTGCGCCCTCGGCGGCCGAGAATACAACCGTCCCCTATTGTTTGCGCCAATGGTTGCGTCCTCGGCCGCCGAGAATGCAACCGTGTCCTATTGGTTGCGCCATAGGTTGCGCCCTCGGCCGCCGAGAATAAAACCGTAGCGTAACGGGTGCGACCAGTCAGTGGTCAGTCAGTCAGTCAGTCAGACGGTCAGTCGGAGTTTGCCTCGCGAAAAACATATTCGGGTTACGCCCGAACACATCGGTATTCCTTACGTGTTGGAGCCATGTTGATCTCTTGGAGGGATCGGAGGGCACTCAAAACCGTCGTGGGGCCGTCTTTAGGCCTCTTGGATGTGTGTCGGAGACTATCTTGAGCCATCTCTAGCTATCTTGACCCATCTTGGAGGCCACCTTGCGCTCGCAGAGGCTCTCTTGGAGCGATCTGGGACCAAAAAGGACGCTTTGACACCTCGCGCCCCCCCCCCTTCCAGGCCCAGGGGGAGGGGTAACCCCCTCCCCCCGAGCAGGAGGAGGAGGAGGAGGAGGGATTTTGGCAGAGAGAAGAGAAGAGTTAGTTAAACCACGTACGCCCAGAGGGCTGGTGGGAGTTCGATGTGCAGGTCGATGCGCATCTCGATTTGCCTTTCGAACGTGGTATCGACGGTAACGTCGATTCACATTGCGATTGATGTGCAGACTCAAGGGCGATATGCGCATGTCGTCTGACATTATGGTTACAAGTGCACCTGGATGCGCATGTCGAGTAGCATTTCGATTTACAGTTCGAGTTGCAATTCGAATGAATATGGTTATGAATTCAGGATGCGCATCGATGTGCATCTCGATTTGCACGTCGGTGTACCTTGGATTTATATGCCGGTTTGCATACCATGTGCAAGCGGATTCGTGTTTTCTTCGGTGCAACCGCGCGGAAATTGGGGGACATGCGCGCGACAACCGCGGGACAGCCCACTGAACACCCACGGGACGACCTGGATGTTATAACCCACGGGACCACCACGGGACGAACCACCCGACAAATTAAGGGACAACCACGGCACAGCCAACATGACAATCCGCGGGACAATTGACGGGATCGCCCGCGGGACAACCACGGGACATCCGCGAGACAACCCACGGGACAAACGCGAGACAAGCACAAGACAAGCATGGGGCAACCCGCGGGACACCACCGAGTCAAAATTCAAATGATCCTGGACCGCGAGAAGGGGGCATGACCGTTTTGCCCTGCTTTGCCCTGGCCTTGGCCGGCACATCACAGCCCCCGCGCAGTTTCCGTTTTGCCCGAGCGGGCAACACTGACTCTCCGAAATGGACACCGGTTCCCCGAATGGTGCTGTTTCTTGTTCATCCCCTAATTTCCGATCTCGTGTTGTAGGAACCATGAATTGCCAGCCTCATTCAGAATAATGCAAATACGAGTAAGTTGTTAACTTCGTTCTGCAGTCCAATGTTAAAAGTATTGCGCAAACAGCCTTCAAATCATTATGTTTGGTTCGGAGCACCTCGAGAGTATAGTTCTGCTCGCTTCGCACCATTCATCGTTGCAGGGAGACGCCCCTTGACTCTACATAACGGTTTCGTTTGGGTACTGTGTTGCAGTTTCCACGTGTGCTTTTGGAAAAGAAGGTGTGTGTGTGTGGTGTGTGTGTATGTTTGTCTTCCTTTTTTTTTGAGGGGGGGGGGAATTGGCTAGACGGTCCCGCCATCGTCTTGCCTCGTTGCTGGTGCGTTCTCTTTCGTGCTGAAGGGAGACATGGCCGTTTCACAATTATTCCTCCGTAGCGAATGGAACATGCTATGTCTTTCGTCACTGTCTTTGAGGTAATGTGCGGGTAAAGGTATTGATATGGGATTTGAAACGCATTTACCAACTCCGCCCAAGTAGTGAGTTGTTTGATTCTTGATCGAAGCCCATGGCGGGGACCGGGCTCGAGGTTGAGTAAGAGTGAGGCGGGCACGTTTCAGCATCGAACCTCGGAGCGGTGTTTGCGTTGAGTGGGTCTTACGCGATTTGTTTTTGGGCCATGCGTTGCCGGCATGTTCTCCAATATCATAGTGCCTACCCCTTCGTAGGCGTAGGGTGATGACGCGGGAGATTGGCAGTGCTCCCTAAAAGAGGGTGTTGATGGCATTAATTCTTGCAGACTCCCTCTGTATGGGTGACGGCGCGCGATTTGGATTTCTAAGATGCCCCCTTGCGATTTGAACAACAAACCACTTCGCAATTCCAAAGACACCCTTTGATGATGGGACGGACACCTCTCCACACTGCCGAAAGAAGACGGGGCAACCACACGTCCTACCTCTTTTGCTGGGCGTACGGATGGACAATTCACAATATGTTGCAGGAGTACTGTGATGGCGTGGCCGCATGTATTTCCGTTCAGTCCACAATTTCCAACCAAAGAGTCGGAATTGTTTTTCGTGCCTTGGTGGCGAAAGACTCACCTTCCCCCTTTACACGATGGGAGGTGCGCGCAAGTCACCCCATGTCCCCTCAACGAAATCTACGCTGGTGTCTGTGTCCCCCAGCTAGGTGGAATGGTGGTGGGACCCCCCACAACAATCGAACATGCAATTCGAAAGAGGATGCAGAAGTGCGCATCCCATGAATCATGGGCGTGGCCCCTTTGGACAGCACGGGCATGCGACTGCGCCGGCAACGTGGAGAAGCGTGTATACAATGGCCGTCCATGGTGTGAGAGTGATGGAGCGGGTGGCCGTGCCATCGCCTTGCTTCGGCACGCGCGCGTGCACTCTCTTCCCGCCGACCCCCGCCAAGTGCCCCCACGGCGCGAGGACGCGGAGGAGATGCGGAAGCGCGCGGAGGAGAAAGCGGTGGGGCTTGGTAGGGCGGGAAGCTGGTTGATGCCGCTCGTGCGAGGCCCCCTCGCGTCCGTGAACAAAAAAGCAAGTTTTGTGTCCCCCCAGGTTTGGGTCATTTTCGGTCCTTCAAGGGGAGGCCGTTGCTGGGCGGGGGCCCTTGGACCGTTAGGAGGCAGCTCGGGACGAGAAGCAGTCCCCCGGGGGAGTGGTCGAGATCTCTTGAGGTCTTGGGGTGATCGAGATCTCGTGGGTCCTGGGTCGTTGAGCAGGACGCGGCGTCAGAGGCCTGGGGTGCCAGAAGCTCCCGTCGTCGTCGCCCCCGGGCAGGGGGCGTGCTGGGTGGCGACAGCACCTCTTCGTGCTCCCTCCACGCACCCTTCCCTCCTCCCCTCCCCCACCCCCAAGCCCATCCCCCGACTTCGCGTCCGCCTCCTCCGCCTCGTCCTGCCCCCTCTGGCCTGTGCACGCCCCGAGGCTGCCATTTGAGGCCACCTGGATCCAGCTTCTGATTTGCGTGATGTGCGGCACCTTCTTGGACCCCTACGCTGCTTGCTCGTTTGCTCCTTGCCCGTCTGGGGGGCCCTCTTGGCGCCCGCGGGGGGGCGCTCTCTTGAGCTCATTTTGGCTCCAAGACATGCCTCGCTTTGGAGCGTCCCGAGGCCAGAGAAGCGGGCACACGGAGGCGCAATTATCCAAAATCTTGGGGTCCGATGTGCTTGGCATCATGGGCCTCCTTTCGGGCGATCTCTTGTTCCGTCTTCATGCTCTCTCGTGACGCCTTGTGTATTGTTTGTTGGAGAAGAAGACCACGAATCATAGTAATACAAATAATGACAAGAACACTCATGTCAATATGATTGGCAATGCCAATGATGAGACTAGTACTGCGGATAAGCATCGTAACACGAATGTCACTAGTAGTTGCAGCACGAATCATACATACAATGGTATTATTCATAATAACGAACGGTGTCACTAATAATACACCGCATAGACCTAAACGTCAGGACCCTCGTTTATATGTATGCACTTGGTTCTCCTTCTAGCAAGTCTTGGGGTGTGGGCTTTGTGTGTGTGGTTTTGGGGTTCAGTGGGGCCCCTTTTGAGATGCCCCAGAACTCGCCAACCTCCCCATCTTCCCGAGTAGTCCCCCTCCTATTCCCCCACCCTCCTCTTCCTCTTCTTCCTCCTCCTCCGCCTCTTCCTCCTCCTCATCCTTCTCCTCCTCCTCCTCCGCCTCCTCCTCCTCCTCCTCCTCTCCGTTGTAGGGGTCGCCTCCTGTCTCACCGTGGTTCGGCGTCGCTGTCGTCCCCGAGATCTGCTTGGGCAGCTGCTAACAGCTGACTCCCAAGCTCGCAGCCGTCCGTGGTGGCGCGGCCGGCGCGGAGCTCCCCCGATTCGTTGTCCTTCCTTTTAGCCTCGTCCATGCCGTTCCGCTGCTGGTTGCGCTCCTCCTCCCCCTCCTCTTCCTCCTCCTCCTCCTCCTTCTCGCCTCCTCCTCCTCCTCCTTCTCCTCCTCCTCTTCCTCCTCCTCATCCTCCTCCTCCTTCTCCTGCGTGCCCCCTCTTGTGGACAGCACTATTCAACACGACGCTGGCCAGATCTGGCCAGATCGCCCAGCTGCGAAGCAATCTCGCACGTTGTGCTGGATTGCCATGCGTGAGTGTGCACGCAATGCGTGCGTGGAGGGCAGTGCTGCTCAGCGAGTAGAGCAAAAGGAGACTTGCCCAGTCCCCCAAGGGCTCCGACCTCCTCTTCTTTCTGTGGTCGTACTGGTTCCACGAATGGTGAGGCAGAAGCGAACCAAGCGCCTAAAGGACGCAAATTATGCTGTGGAGTGCTTGACGGCCCGGGGGGCCCCCGTGCTGAGGCCATGGCCTCAACGCTGTGCCCGAGTGGGCAAGGGCGAGCTCCCTGCCTGGGCCGCAGGCCCCCGACTGGGTGATCTCCGTCTGGACCCCCTCCCTGGGGCCAGCTTCGCACCCCGAGGCCCTGGAAAGCCCCCCCCCCCCAGAGGCCGAGCACGGCTGGGAGCCTCCCGCCGTGCTTCCGTCCACGGCGCGAGGAGGTCTGGCCTTCTTCCCCCCCTCTCCGCCGCCCCCCGGACTCCCCATCCTCCCCTTCCTCCTCCTCCTCCTCCTCCTCCTCCTCCTCCTCCTCCTCCTCCTCCTCCTCCGCCTCCTCCTCCTCCTCCTCCTCCTCCTTCGCCTCCTCCTCCTCCTCCTCGCGGCCCACCTCTGAGCTCCGCTCATGATGCGCCGCTTGCGAGAAGGTGTGGGCGTTCTGGCAACGTGGTTCCGCTGCTGTTAAGTGTGGAACATCGTTTTGTCCTGAGTCCTGAGTGTGTTCAGGCTAAAAGCGTTGGAATGCCTTTGCAAATTTGCGGCCACGGGGTGGAGCTCGTCGGATAGCGTTCGCCTGCCTGGGGTGCTTGCAAGGTCTACTGCTCCAGGTCAGGTGCCGCTCGTGCTCTCCCTACTCTCCTTGTGGGGGTCATACGCACCCATCAAGTTGTTGGGCCCCTCGTATGTGCGGGGTAACATTCCAGGCTGTTGCCCGCCACGCCAGTCGTGTCTGAACATTTCACGTGGCTGAAGAGGAAGAAAGTACACCTCCTCCTCCTCCTTCTCCTCATCCTCATCCTCCTCCTCCTCCTCCTCCTCCTCCTCCTCATCATCATCATCATCATCATCATCATCATCATCATCATCATCATCATCATCATCCCCCTCCTCCCCCCTTCTCCTCATTCCCCTCCTCCTCCTCCTCCTCATCCTCATCCTCCTCCTCCTCCTCCTCCTCCTCCTGCCTCCCCCTCCTCCCCCCCTCCTCCTCCCTCCTCGCTCCTTCTCCCCCTTCTCATCTTCCTTCCCCCCCTCCTCCACCCTCTGCCGCACCTCGAGCGTCCGGGGCCAGGCGCGCGACGTCGCACGCCGGGAGGAGAAGCGGCGGCTCGAGGCAGGGGAGCGTCCGCACGCGCCGTCGCCCCGCCCTCGCGGAGGGGGCCAGTGGGTGGACTAGAAGTGTCCACACGTCTCTCGCCAAGACCTTGAGTCATTAAAGTACGTCATGGGTGTGGACACTGCCATTGGAACCCCCCCGCTTGACGGCGGCGCCCCGGCCCAACACTCACCGCTGGCGTGCCGTGGGGGCGGCGGCTCGGCTTTGAGATCCCTGGCGCGAGAGTGCCAAGTGTGGTCAGCCGCCGTCTTTCTGCTTGGTTCGGGGCTGCCCTCAAACCCCCTCGCCTCTCGGCTTGTCCGGGCAGCGGCGGGAGGGGGCGGCGCTGCCCCAGGCAGGAGATCCTGCCTGGACTTCGATCCCGGAGCCTCGATCCGCCGCATGCGAGGGCCATCACGAGGGGGCGGAGTTGGTCGCGCTCCGCGGTCTGGGGGGTCTGAGAGCGAGGCGCGAGTCCCTCGTGTTGCTCTGGGTGGGGGGGGGGGCGCGAAGGCGCGAAGATCATCGCGCTTCGCGCCGCGCGAGGCGCGAAGATGGTTGCCCTAGAGGAGGGGGCGGCGCTGCCCCGAGCAGGAGGTCTCTGCCTCCCATGCGGGGTCCGACGATCGGGGGTTCGCGGTTCGAGGATCGAGGAGGGAGGTTTCGAGGATCGAGGATGGAGGTTTCGAGGTTCCGAGGATCGAGGAGCGAGGTTCGAGGATCGAGGATGAAGCTTTCGAGGTTCCGCGGATCGAGGAGGGAGGCTTCGAGGATCGAGGATCGAGGCGTCACAGTAAGATCGAGGTTCAAGGATCGAGGATCGAGGTTTCTGGATATTGTCGTCGACATTATGCGGAGTTCCAGCCTCGGGGTGCGTTCCAGCAGCTGCGCCTCGTCGAGAGCGTTCCAGGGGTGTCCATATCGTCCCGAACGGCCGCCAGCGACCCCAGTCATGCCCCAAAATTGAGGCCTCCCACATTGTGTCCGAGCAGATGGGGTCGGAGGGTTGTGCCGCATCAGCGATGCATCGGCGATGCGGCTTGATGCGAAGCCCGGTTGCCGACGGCGCCGACGCATAGGTGTTGCATACATGTTGCGGCGCGCTCCCCCGATCCCACCTACTATTTCGAACCCATCTGGGAGGCCTCCAGGGGGGTGGAGGGGGAGGGGAAGGAGGGGGGGGGAAGGGAGGAGGCAGTTGGTCGGCTGGATGGACTGGATGTGCGCTGTGGCGGCTGATCATTACCATCGTGCCGTGGCTTTCAGGCTCCAGGATGTCTACTTGGCATTGCGCGGACGTTTGCATGCTTCCGCCGAGGACCATCGAGGAGCACCTTGGATCGAACCAGAAAAGGGCACGGGGAACGGACGTCCGAGCGATGGCAAGTCTGGAGGAGTGAGCTTCAGCTCACGCTTCCGGCACGCAGCGGCTGATTTCCTCCGAGGGCGGCTGCGCAACCAGATTTGTGTTTCTGCTCCCCTCGCTCCCTCGTTCGAGGCGGACGGGGGATGCAGGGGGGGGGGGGGGGGGGGGGGGGGGGGGGGGGGGGAAATGAGGACCCTCGGAGGCATGTGTACCTCTCTTACTAATTCCGGTTGTTGCTCGAAGTGCCCCTGGCACAAGGTGCCTCCAGGATATCCCAGGAAGCCCCCCCCTCGGCCTCGAGAGCACCCCTCACGGGGCCTAGAAGGGCCCCAGGGTCTCCACAATGGTGCGACAAGCTGGGGGGGGCACCTTGGGCGTCCTGCAGGCGTATCGAGCTGCCTGCTGCACGTCCGTCCCTGCACCATGCCAGCCCAGCATTCTGGGTTGCGACTGTTCGAGGGAGGCACGAGGCAGTCACATGCGACACCTCGCGCCCCTATGATGATGATGATGATGATGATGATGATGATGATGATGATGATGATGATGATGATGATGATGATGATGATGATGATGGTGGTGATGGTGATGGTGATGGTGATGATGATGATGATGATGATGATGATGATGATGATGATGTTGATGTTGATGTTGCTGATGCTGATGCTGATGATGATGCTGATGCTGATGCTGATGCTGATGCTGATGCTTCTGATGCTGCTGATGCTGCTGCTGATGCTGATGTTGATGCTGCTGCTGCTGATGATGACGATGACGATGATGATGACGATAATGACGATCATCAGGATGTTGAGGAGGGGGGAGACAGAGAGGAAGGCAAGCACATGGGACACCTTGCGTCTTCACTGTTTCGGGAGCTCTCCTCGTACTAAATTACTTACTGCTTACCGTGCAGGTGCACCTCTCGGGGGCAACGCGTCGGCGACCTCCTGCATCCTCACGCACTCTCCCAACCTGCCAAAATGGAGGGGGAGGGACGGCTTGCTCGGAATCGAGTCGTCCCGAACGGTCGCCAGAGAACCGAGCTAGAACCCGAAAGCCATGGACAGCGTTAGGGGGGATAGGCTCAGGCGGGAGCGCATCGACCCCGAATCGCCCATGGATCGCCGGTAGAGGCCTGATAGTACACCCGCTCAGGGTCGTGCGGATTCGCTATCAGGGGCCTATCGCCGCTCTATTGGCCATACGTCGCCGACTCCAAGTCGGCGCTGCCCCATTTCTGAGCCAAGCCCATCCTCGCGTCACCCTCAAGGGAGGGGCAGGGATCACCAGGGCCACCCCCTTCACACAAGTGGTGCACTGGTACGCTGCACCTGAATTGCCACCCCAGATCTACGAGGGCCCCGCGGGCACGACGACGAAGGGCAACGCGGCCTCGAAGAACAGCGACGCCCACACCTGGCAGACGATGCCAAGACGCGCGCGGGACACCAGGGTGCGTAGCGATCACAATTCGGTTTTCGGTGGTAGCCATGACTGGAGTACGCCCAAGGGTTGGGGTTGGGCAGTGCCATGGATGCGCCCTTCGCGGCTCCTCCCCTTCCCCTGGGACGGACGTCGATCAAGGAATAAACCAGAGTTTCAAACGATGGTGTAAAACATACAGCGCGAGGACCGCCTTGAAACACCGCAAAGCCTCAAGAGTCGAAACACATCGAAGACGAAGATGGTGCGACACTGCTGACCTCTGCATTGCCGAGCGCTCCTGCCAGCCAAATAGTTAAGAAAGGAAATACGCGAATCAGCACTGAGCACCACATTGAAACCCGATGATGATCAAGAGGTCCCCCCAAGCGGTACGAACGCTACCCAGACTCCACCCAGGTCATCATGTTGGTGAACATTGAGCCCGCTCTGCCTTTTGTCCAGTTTCTCCACCGCGATCTGCAACCTTCAGACACACGTATTGTTCATGCGGTGCCACCCAAGCGCCCCGTTGCGGCACTAGATGCGACTCGGAAGTTACTTGCGCTGGTCGAGCAACATGCCCGGGACGAGCAACGAGCCCATGCTTGAGGAGGGAGGGGCATGGGAAGTGAAGGGAAGGGGGAGGGAGGGGGAGGTAGGAGAGAGGGGGGGGGGTGGGGGGAAAAGGGCGGAGGAGGCGCAAGGGGAGGGGGTGCGAATATCAGGGTAGATCCCCCGAGTCCCCGCCCCGCCTCCTCGGCCTCTTCCCGGTCGATGCGCTCGCCCCGTTGCTTGTTCGAGGGCGGCAGGCTGGGCCTGGCCGGGATCGACGCAGGTGCATGCAGCTGCCACGAGGGCAAAGCACAGCCACAGCTCTGGAGGGGCACGCCCTGTGGTCTCCGTGGTGTGGTTGGGCCCTCCACCCGGGCAGCGCCCGTCACTCTGGACAGCTCCGTGGGGCAGTGGGCCCTCGGGCGACGGGGCTCGCGTTCCAGGAGCGAAAGAAGCTCGTACACGCACATGAGTCGACGCTGGTTTCGAGAGTTCGCATTGCGCGAATGTTCGTATCACGCGGCCGGTCTCGCGGGTCGAGGGGCCGTGCTCATGTACATAGCTGGGCGTGTACGTCCTTGGTGGGTTCCCTGGGGTTCCTGACCCGCGCCACTCTGGGCGTGCTCCGGCCGCAGTCGGCGCCCTCCGCGTCGCGTCCCCCGCTAGTCCCGCCGCCGCCCCCCCCCGCGCGGCAGGCGGAGAGGAAGGCCGAGGACCTCGCCCTCCCGCCAATTGCCGCGCTCCGCCCTTTGCCCCCCCCCCATCCCGGGCAGCGCCACAGGAGGGAGGAGACGGGCTGCGGGGGGCCTCTTCCCTCCTCCCTTTCTCAATCCCTTCCCTCCTCCATCCCCTCCTCCATGCCATTCCTTTTCCTTATGGCAACTTCTCCCCGTCGCACCCCGAGGCCAGTTTTTAGGGCGGTCCGGGCGTCCGAAGCTTGACAAGTGGCAACAGTTTCACAGATAGAAGGCGGGTGGTTTTCAACATGTGGATCTCGCTTTAGCGCCGCGCACATTCGTTTTAAATGTTATTTGCATGACTCTCACGGATTGAGGCCCACCCTTTTTCAAAATATGGTTCTCGCCTCAGCGTCGCGTACATCCGTGCCAACAAAGTGTAAGATTGTCACGCATTGAGGGCGGTTCCTTTTCAACATGTGGTTCTCACATTTGCGTCGCGCGCATTCATGCTTTGAGTTTTGCAAGGGCTTTACGGGTTCCCATGATCAGTGTGCCAGAAACGGCGCTTTGGAAGGATTCAGGGTTATGAGGGCTCAACGGTTACGTTGATTCGAGAACAATGTTTTGGCCAAGTTTTGGCATGCTTCAGGGTCTTCAAACGGTTGTTTTCCAACGAGGTAGTTCCCTCAGTGGAAATGAACCGTTGTAGGAGCCCAGGAAGAGGGAGCTTGGAAGGAGGGTTGATTCCAGCATCGTTGATGACTCTTGGGCTTACATTGGTCCTCCTCCTTTCCTCCTTTCCCCCCCTTCCCCTCCTTACATTGGTCCTCCCCTTTCCCCCCCTTCTCCTTTCCTCCTTTCCTCCTTTCCCCTCCTTCCCTGTCCTCCTTTCCCCCCCTTCCTCCTCTCGCCCCTGACTCTGTCCGGAAGATGCTCGGCCTCTCCGCGTGCTGTCTGTCACACAGTATTTCAAACAAAATGTGTTCCTTTACGGTATGTGTTCCTTTACGGCTTATGACAACCCGCTTGATCCTGGAGCTCAAAACGGCGATCCCGGTGCAACGTGGGCCTCATTTTCGGATCGGCGTGTGGTTTTCTTAGTTCAGAATGGCGCGCTCGCCCCAGGACGGGCTTTTTCTCTCAACCCGAATATTTCTAGATCGTTGTCGCCCCCCTCATTCCCCCTCCTCCGCCTGTTACTCCCGCCTCCCGCTCCTCCCATTCAAGTTTCTGCTGTTGCTGCTGCTTCTGCTCCTCCCTTCCCCTCCCGCTCATCCTCGTGCTCATCCACCACCTCCTCCTCCTCAGCACGCAGCTTCCATTTTCTCATTTTGCATAGCACGTCGTGGTCATGCAGGTCAAATATGACACGCGTCTGCGGATAGAGAAACATCCGCGCAATTGAAGGGATGGAAGGACGGGACAGGATGTCAGACAAGGCGCGAGCACACCTAGCTTGTCCTCTTCCCCTGTCTTTCCCCGTCGTCCTTTCTCCTTCTCCTCCTCCTCCTCATCTTCGTCCTCCTCTTCCCCCTCCTCCGCATTTCCCGTCATTCCTCCTTCTCCCTCCTTCCTCCTCCCGTCTTCTTGCCTCTCCTCTCCTCCTCCTCCTCCTCCTCATCCTCCTCCTCCTCCTCCTTCGTCTCCTCCTCCGTCTTCTCCTCCGTCTCCTCCTCGTCCTCCTTCTCCTCGTCCTCATCCTCCTCCTCCTGCCTCCTCCTCCTCCTCCTCCTCCTCCTCCTCCTCCTCCTCCTCCTCTCCTTCCTCCCTCCCTCCCTCCCTCCCTGATCCTCCATGCATCATCCCTTCCCTCCGCCTTTCTTCCTTCTCCCCGCCCGGGGGAGGCGCGGCGCACGGGGGCGCAGCAGGGGGTGGGGCGTGCTCGGCGGACCGAGGACATGTTCTTCAGCTTGTGCTGCTGCACCTTTTTTGGGGGGGCCCTTGGGGCTTCTTGGGGGCCCCTGCGGCTGTCTTCAAGCCATCTTGAGGATCTGGGGGCGACCTCCGGGTGACTCGAGGCTCTATTGGACTGTCTTCGCGGCCTCCTCGGTCCCTCCAGGCCCGCCGTTTCGAGACCCTCCTGGCTTCCAGAAGACGCACGCGACACACCCCGGGAGCTCCCAGCTCCCGGGAGCTCCAGGAAAATCCAGGGAGCGCCTAGGCTGGGTGTCCAGGCCTTTTTGTGAATTTAGAAGCCTGGCTGCAGCAGCAGCAGCGCAGCTGCGAGCCGGGGGCGGCCACCCCCCAGGATCGAGCCGTGAGGCCACCGCAGGCCTGCGTTCGGAAGCCACCCACCACTCGCCTCCGCACCCCGCAGCAGAAGCGGGTGCCCGCTCCTGCTTCGCACCTCGTGACGGCTCACGGGGGGGGGGGGGGGGGGCATCATCGGACGGCGACAGGCAGAACTCCGCCATCAGAGGCGCTCGTCTCCCGCCCGCTCTCCTCTCCATTACCTCCCCCGGCAGCAGCACCTCGTGCCCGCTCGTCTGGCTCGTCGCGCGAGTGCTCCAGGGGGCAGGGGGCAGAGGCAGAGGGCGGCGACCGTCAGGGGTCTGCCACCCGAGGCCCGTTTCCCTCTGGCCCTCCTCTTCATTGAGTATCGTTGAACCGATCCCCATCCCCAGCGTCGTGGCCTGGGCCCCACTGGCCGATCTACCCCCCTAGATGGGGACACAGGTCGTGCCCTTCGGGGTTCGGGGGGTGTATCCCCAACTGGGGGGGGGGTGATTTGGTGGTGGTCTCGAAGGGGATGGGGATGGGGATGGGGATTACGATACCGATTCATCACCTCCTCCTGGAGCATAGGCTCGTGCCCGCTCCCACGTCGCGCCCCAGTGCCCCGCCGAAGGAGGAGCGACAGAGGATAGCTGCCAAGGAGGCCAAGGCCGCGGAGAAGGCCCGCGGCACGGCCTCTCCACTTACAGCTTGTCTGAAGTCGGGCCTGTCCCTCTACAGGGGGATATTCAAAAGTAGTCAAAAATAGTCTCGGGACGATGTGTCTACTATCTTTGACCGTTTTCAAAGATTGTTTGACTATCTTTGATTCGTCGTCCAAAATCCGCCTGTAGGGGGACAGGCACGACCTAAACGTACAGCTTGTTGGAGGGAGGATGGGCAGGGGGAGGATGAAAAGGAGCCGGTACCGCTGCTCGTCCTGGAGAGCCCTCGTCGCCACGGCTAGCTTCTCTCCGAAGCTCGAGTCCAAACACATCCCAGCAGTGGTCTGAGAAGCTGCAGCTTTGTAGCGAGATGGTGTTGTTCCCCCAGGGGAGGCGGAGGACGAGGAGGAGGAGGAGGAGGAGGAGGAGGAGGTCGAAGAAGGGGTGTGTTTGGAGGGGGGAGCAGGGAACACATTGGGGGGGGACGGTGCAGGAGCGAGCGGGGAGGAAGGGATGGAGGGGGCATGGAGCAGCGAGGAGGCGTGATGCGGACTGTTAGTCAAGTGGGAGCGTGGCAGTACGAAGGGGAGAAGAGCGGCGAAGGGCAGGGAGAAAAGGAGCGAAAGTGGCATGAAAGAGGAAGGCAGCACTGAGAAATCGACGTAGACGGGAGAATTGCTAGAGAAGTGAGCAGGAGGGAAGCGCGACGGGGGCAGGAAACACAGATCTGGCAGGAGGGAGGATGTGGCATGGGAGTGGGGGAGGGAGGATGAAGGGAGGCGGACGGCTGGAAGAGGAGAAGGAGGGGGAGCAGAGGGAGGAGGGAGGAAGGAAGGAAGGAAGGAAGGAATGCCATCGGAGGAAGAAGGCAGGAAGGAAGAGGATATGGCTGGAAGCACAGGAGATCGGAGGAGACGTCCTCCGCCTTCCTCCTCCCTCCCTCCCCCCCCCCTTCCTCCTTAATTGGCAGCTCATGCCTTTGCTTGCATGCGCTTGGCGTGCTGATGGTTGGCAGCCGCTGCCGGCCGACCCTTAGTTGCATTTTCAGCTCTGGCTCGCCCCCCAGCCGCTGCTGAGCAGCGTGCGCCGAGCTGGGCACATTAGTGCCCGCCTTTCTCATGATGTCTATGTTGGCGAGTGCTTGCACCCAACTTGTAGGTATCCTTCCTTCGCCCTTCCTCTTCTCTTTGGTCTCCTTCTCCCCCCTCTTGCACTCCCACTGCTTGCGTTGGGCACCAGTGCGAGTCCCGCTGGCTGGAGCTAGCTGGTTACGCACGCGCGAGTTTCCCTGTTGTGGGTCGTGCCTTGTTTCACTATTCTTCCCCCTTGGGGCTGCTTCCTGCCGGCGTCATTCTTGCTAATTTCGGCCACGCTAGCAGGACAGTTTGCTCGCACGGTACTTGTCTGCCTGCAGTGCATTACATTGCCCAGCATGTGGTCGGCGTCTTCCTCGTTCTCGTCCTCCTTCCCTTCCTCCTCCCTGAATGCGGTGACGTGTACCCGGCCAGCCACTTCCGAGCTCTGCCGCTTTAGTGCTACAGTGCGGTTCGAGCCTAGGTCCGCTCGTTTTGCCAGTGGGCGGCAGCGCCTCTTTGATGGGTGCGTATATAGCCCCCATGAGGGGAAGCGGTTTCGATACAAAAAAAGGATGGTCACCAGCGATCCCAAAAGGGCCAACCCGATGGGTGACAGGCTATCCCATGCCTGATGGAGGGGAGGCAGCTGCAGCCTCTGCCTCCGCCTCGCTCGCCTGGACCCTCCGCAAGAGGGCGGGCATCCTCGCACTCCGCGGGCGCACCTCGAGCGCAGAGCCCTCGGGGAGAGGAGGCGGCGTAGCAGTACAACAGGGCGACCTTGGGCGCCTTGGGCGGAGTTTTTGGGGCGGACCGTCATGGGGTCCTCTTGGGGTCCTTTCGGGCCGTCTTAGGGCGGTTTTGGGATTCCCTGGGGCCATCTTGGACCGTCGGGAACCCAAAAACGCGAGAACGCGAAAAACATAGGAAAGTATACGGAGAATCCATTCCGTATGTGTGCTTCGTTTGGTCCTCTTTGGCGTCCTCTTGGAGCGTTTTGGGTTTTTTTGGGGGGGGCTCTTGGGCCGATTTAGGGCCATTCTGGGCGTCTTGGAGCGCTTTTGGGCCGTGACTCCGATTCGTGGGCCCTCTTGGAGTTGCCTTGAGGTTCCTTGGGCCGCACTTGGGGCGATCTGGAGGGCCCCGAAAACCGCCCCTGGGAATTTCGCCATCCTTGGGCGGACCTTGCTGGGACCTTGCCGGGAGTCGGCCAGGGCATTTTTCGTCTGGGGACTCCCAGGGACCGCCCCGCGCGCGCGAATTAGAATATACATGTGTTATGTGAACCAGTCACCAGAGATTTTAGCACGCCTCTAGCCTTAAGTCGGGCCTGTCCTTCTGCAGGAGGAATATTCAAAAATAGTAAAGAAATAGCACGGGGACGTTTTTGTTGATGATTTGTTTGACCTTTTGGGGTATGTTTTGCATTTTTGTTGTTATTTTTCGCCCGACCTAACTCTGGCCCGTTGGGCCAGCGAGCTTGTATACACCTCGATGCACACAGGTATATGTGGACCACTCTCCCTTAGTGCGGGTTGGGGGTCCAAGTGACGGGATTTCGGAAATTGGAACATATACATTACCAATGGCGTGCTGTTTTTCAATCCCTGGACTTTTTGACGGTCAGGGACGACGTCGGGGTGGTGTGGTGTATACTTCTTGTCCCCGACGTCCCGGGGAAGCAGCGAAACATGTATACACCAGAGTCCCGTAGACACTAGGATCCGCTCTCCAGTGCAGATTCCAATGCAGGGCCGGAACCAGCGTCGGTGTATAGAGTCGGGAGCCTCGAGACGGGGATCAATGCAGACGGGGGTCAGCCAGGGCACCGGATCCTGCAGGATCTTGCGAAGACCCCTTTTGGCTGACCCGGGTTAGCGAGCAGCTCGTGGCCGCGAGGCGGCCGCGCTTATATTGGCCGACCCGGGTGTGCGAAGACCTGCGTTGCAGTTTTTGTGTTCCTGCATTGCCGTTTTCCCTTTCTTGCTGACCCGGGTTTGGATTGACCTGGGTCAGAAGATCCCCAAGCTGGGGACAGGGAGGAGGAGGAGGAGGAGGAGGAGGAGGAGGAGGAGGAGGAGGAGGAGGAGGAGGACGACGAGCCGGAGGAGAGCGCATCGGGAGGAGGAGGAGGAGGAGGAGGAGGAGGAGGAGGAGGAGGAGAAGGAGGAGGAGGAGGAAAGGAGGAGTAGGAGTAGGAGTAGGAGTAGGAGTTCGATTCTCTAGGATTGGCCACGAGGTGGAGCGCCCCACGATCGCCCACGCATCGCCGAGCGGGGCCTGGGTGCCCCACTTTGTCCGGGCGCGTGCGGCACGGCTCCCCGGGGGTCTGTCGCCGACGCTCCTGCGATGCATCGCCGATCCCGGGCTGGTGCTTTTCCCCCTGGGCTTAAGTCGGGCCCCATTCAAAAATAGTCAAAAAATCGTCAGGGGATTATTTTTTGAGGATTATTTGATGATTTGGGGGGTGTTTGGGGAGTATTCTTTTTTTGTTGTCCAACATCCCCCTGTAGCGGGACAGGCCCGACTTCCCCCCTGGGCCAGAGATGCCCCCGAATTTCGAATTACGTTCCCCGTCTGTCCCTCCCGCCCGCCCGCGCGCGCAGGCCCGGAAGGAGGCCGAGCGCAAGGCCGAGGTGGAGAGGAGACGAGCCGAGAAGGCGGCGATGTCCGGAGCGCTGCCTCGGCCTCTGGGGGATGCGCCGGCGAAGGAGGAGCAGCTGGAGTCGGGGCTCAAGAGACGGGGGTCAGTGCAGACGGGGGTCAGCCTCTGGGGATGCGCCGGCGAAGGAGGAGCAGCAGGTCGTCAAATCACTAGGTAGACAGCGGTGGCCAAGAGATCCGTGGTCTCGGCATCGCTCGGACGTGTGCATTTTTTTTCGGCGAGGACCATCGAGAAACATCTTTGATCATTTTGCGCCGGCGAGGGATGCTGGCGAGGGATGCGCCGGCGAGGGAGGAGCAGCTGGAGTCGGGAGCCTTGAGACGGGGTTCAATGCAGACGGGGGGCAGCGCCCGATCTTGCAGGATCCTGCAGGGCCAGGGGCGCATTGACCCGGGCTTGGGTGCAGGATCCTGCAGGATCTTGCAGGATCCTTCGCATTGACCCGGGTGTCTGCAAGGCCTGACTGACCCGGGTCTGGATTGACCCGGGTCAGAAGATCCCCGATGGAGGCGGAGGAGCAGCAGGTCGTGAAATCACTAGGTAGACTTACATCGGGCCTGTCCCTCTACAGGGGGAATGTTCAAAAATAGTAGAAAAATAGTCTGGAGACGATTTTCTAACATTTTTTAAAAACATATTTTTGATGAATTTTTAGTGTATTTGTTTTATTTGTCGTCCAAAGTCCACCTGTAGGGGGACAGGCCCGACCTGAAGGTAGACAGCGGTGTCCAAGAGATTCATTGTGAGATCGGCACGTGGTGAGATCGGTAAATTGCGTGGTCGAGAGATGCACAGGTCGTGAGCCCGATCGGGCGCGTATCACAAACCGACGGCTGCGCCCATCATCCCCAACCCCAGCCCCTGCTGGGCATCTCCGGCCCTGGGGTGGCTCAGAGTGCGGGGCATTCGCCCCGGACTCACGGCAGGTGCCCGTCCTCGATTTGCGCATCCCCTCCCAAACCTCCCCGCCCCTCGGTTCCTTCGTCGTTGCGTGCTCGCAGGCACGGTGCCCTCCTACCTCCCTATAGTTCCTTGTCGGGCACGATCTGTGCCTTCGCGCTGGAGGGGGGGAGCTCCGAGATGCAAGGGGCCTCTTGAGAGGCAACGGGAGGGCATCCCTTCCAGTCTTTACGAACCTCTTCGACCTCATCTTTTGAACTTCCTCTTCTTCATCCTTTTTTGGAGACATCTTGAAGGGCGTTTGGGGCGTTGTTTGGGGCTCTTGGGGGCCTCTTGGAGCCCTCTAGGCTTCTATCGAAGCTCAGGAAGCACGCACGTGTCTTCGACAAGAACATTCAGCACGCGATGCCACTGCTTGTGCAGATTCTCCGAGAGCCAACTTCCCACTTGCCCGGGTCTTTAGCACCAGCAAGTGCCATAATCAGTCCCTCCTCGGAGAAGATCCGTTGGAGGAGGAGGAGGAGGAGGATGAGGAGGAGGAGGTGGAGTGGAAGTCAGGTGGAGGAAGTGGAGGAGATGGAGCATCACACTGCCCTCGGATAAGAGCGGCAGGAGGGTCCACAAGTGCGAACAGGCGAGCCGAACTTAGAACCGCGATCCTATGACTTTTTGCCGAGGCGTTTCGCCAGGAGGTCCCAACCCCTTCCCTTGGCGTGCATTTGCGTCCGGGATCCGCTTTTCGTGGTCTGGAAGGGGGGCCCGACGACGGTCCCCGGGGGTCGAGATCGAGGAAGAACGCCGAGGTCGCAAGAAGTCAGATCGTCGGCGATCTGGTTGCGATGGTCCTGGGGCACGATGACTGGCCCCACAGGGTTCCGAGATCAAGGAAGAACGCTCGGATTACAGAGAAACAGAACAATCGTCGGCGAGATGGTCTCGATGGCCCCAGAGGTGCACGCCCGGATGGAACAGAACCCATCGCTGGCGATCGTGGCTGGAGGTCCATGGAGGTTCTTGGAGGCCTCTGAAGGCGCCAAAGGGTGCAGAAAAAGCAAATTAACAAGGTCGGAGATTTGGGTCGAGAGGCAGTTGCAAGCGCCGCTGTCGAAGCCGCCGCTGGTTCCTCGGTCTCCTCCGCGACATCTGCAGTTCCTCGTCGACCTCCCAATCCACAACCTCCTCCCCCTCGACCTCCTCTTTGACCTCGGCCTCTCCTTCTGTCGATCAGTAACGAAGTTCCTGTCGCCGGACTCAAGCCACATGTAGTCGGTAATCTCTTCCTCCTCCTCGCCATCCTCGACCTCCTCGTCTTTCACGTTCCGTAGCGGGGTCTCCCGCCAGACGGGGCCGCCTTGTCCCCTAGACAGACTGGGGGGGGAGGCTTGCCCCAGGTAGCTCCTGAGCCATGAGTTTTCGGGCCTGCATCCTCATTCCCACCTAGGTGTCGGTCAAGCGATGCATTGGCGATGCAGCGCGATCCTCCGACCCTGTCTACTCGGACCCCTTCTGGAAGGCCTTCACAGTCAAACCCCCAACGGCCTCATCCTTATCCCCTCCTCCTCCTCCTCCTCCTCCTCCTTCTTCTTTCTCCTCCTCTTCCTACTCTTCTTTCTCCTCCTCCTCTTCCTCCTCCTTCTCCTCCTCCTCCTCCTCCTCCTGCCTTGTCCTTCCCCTCGAACTCCTCTCGGGGCAGCCCGTCCCGAGCGCTGCCGGGCCCCGCCGTCGGTTGGGTCCCAGGCGGCGCGCGCCAGCGACCCCGCCTTCCTCGCCGAGAAGGCGGGCTCGCGCGGCCTGCCTCGGCCGAGCACTGCGCGGGGCCACCTCGGCGGCCTTGGGAGGCCCTCGGCGACCCTCGGCGGCCCTCGGCGGCCCTCGGCGGCCTTCGGCGGCGGCCCTCGGCGGACCCTCGGCGGCGGCCTTCGGCGGCGGCCTTCGGCGGCCCTCGGCGGCGGTCTTTGGTGTCCATCGGCGGCCCTCGGCGGCGGCTTTCGGCGGCCTTCTGCGGCCAGGCGCAGAGGGGGGCCGGAGGATGGGGGGGAAAGGCTTCTTCGAAGCACCCCAGCTTCTTGGCAGGCGCGGGCCTTACCCACAAGTGTCAGGTTGGCGCCTTCTAGGAAGCAGCCTCCTTCTGTGAAGCCTTCCCCTCGGCGTTCCTCCTCCTCCTCCTCCTCGTTCTCCTCCTCCTCGTTCTCCTCCTTCTCCTCCTTCTCCTCCTCCTCCTCCTCCTCCTCCTCCTCGTCCTCATCGTCCTCCTCCTCCTCCTCCTCCTTCTCCTCATCCTCATCCTCTTCCTCCTTCTCCTCTGCGCGCCGCCAACTTCGATGTCCACCGGCGGCGGCCTTCGAAACCACTGTCGGCCCTCGGCGGCGGCTTTCGGCGGCCTTTCGATGTCCATCGGCGTCTCTGGCGGCCATCGGTGGCCTTCAGCGGGAGGGGTTGGGCGGCGGCACGCCGCCGGGTGGCCGAAGAGCTGCCCGTCGGTCGTGGGAAGTGCCCCGAAACCAGGAAAACCATGTGCAGCAGGTGTGCGTCGCATCTCGACGCGGCGGCGACCGCCGCGCGGATCTTCAAGGCAGAACGCCGCCAGTGGCCAAGAACCGGCAGGCATCAACCGATCCGCGCAATCGGAAAGCAGCAGTCGTTCAAGAGATTGCACGCTCGACGAGATGTGCAAACTTACCGCAGAAGTTGTAATGCAGGGACCTTCCGCGCCTGCGTGCGTAATAAATCGTGGGCAGGTGTTTGAGCTTCTGGTGGCCGCCCTGGTGCCCTGAAAGCGGCGCCCCATGGCCGGTTCGCAATGGTGCGCCAGTTGTCGTGAGTTTTGGCTTCCGCCGTGGTGGCCTGGGGGCGATGCACACTACGGCTTGTGGTCTATGGTGCCCCAGTTTCGGGAAACGTGAGACTCGGGTACGCCGGAACGCGGGTCTGCCGGCGCGCTTTTTGACGAGCGTGTCTCGGATTTTGACGGTGCAGTTGTCGTGGAGTGTTTGCAGCGGGAGCTCGCGTTAAATTTCATATCGGGTCTCGTCATGGTCATGATGGCCCCGTCAGGCCAACCCGAGTCCGCCGAACCCGAGTCTTACGTCTCCCCGACATTCATTCTCTTCTCGTTTTTGGAAGCTTCGGGGCGATTTGGGGATATTCGGCTCTTCGGTCTTCGGCCTGCCAGGCCTCCAGGACCGCCCAACGGGTCCCGAACATGGCCCCCCAACGACCAGGAATGGATGGCAGGGAGCCCTCCTGGGCACTTTATTGTCCCGGGGCACGGGGCGAACCCCTCCGGGACCCGAAGTGGTTCTTCCGTCAGCCCCTCGACTGTAGGCGCAGGAGCGAGCCCCTGGGCAAGGGTGAACTCCTGGTGCGTTGCTTTGGGTGGCCGCGGGGGTGGAGGGAGGAGGGCGAGGAGGGGGAGGGGGAGGAGGAGGAGGAGGAGGAGGAGGAGGAGGAGAAGGAGGAGGAGGAGGAGGAGGAGGGTTCCCCGAACCCGAGTTTTTCGTCCCCTCACGGTGGTAGCGAGCTCTGCTTCGGGCCTCGGCGCCCGTGTCTACATGGCGACCCGGTCTCTTTGCGGCCTCTGGTCGCCGCCCTGTGATGCCCGGTGGGTGCTGCCCGAAGGCTGGCACCCTGACGTCTGCACGCCGTGAGCTCGAAACACTCCTGCTGGTCTACGCTTAAGTCGGGCATGTCCCTCTACAGGAGGAAAGTTTAAGAACAGTCGAAAATAGTCAGGTAACGATCTCTCCTGCTTGTTTGACTAGTCGGGATTAGTTTTGACTATGTCTGACTGTTCTTCCTGAGCCCGCCTGTAGGAGGACACGCCCGACCTGTTTCTACGCTGGCCATCAGAGGTGTTTCGGGAGTTCAGAGTCGAAGGAGTACGCGTCTAAGTGCACACCCTGCAGAGGCCCCCACTTGCTTGAACGCCTTCCTACCTGATGCCACCTACCTCTTGCGACCGACGTTCAGTGCTGTCACCGTGCTGCAGTCAGAGTTGCGCAGGACAGTGCGCTTCGAGACCAGCTTTACGCTCTGCCCCTTCTGGGGTGGGGCCTCCTGGGGAGGCCGCGTGGCCACGGCTGCACGCAGCTCGAAGAACCGGCTGGAAGGGTGTTGCCCGTTCGGGGCACCCACAGGCGCAAAAAGGTTTGTTCGTCGCGTTTCGTTGCCTGGGGCCGCACAGTCGTCCTCCTCAAGGGGGGGGCGCGAACCTACCCTCGCGTCGCAGAGTTCGAAGGGCGAAGTTGGGTGACCCGGATGACATGCTGCGGCCAGGATTAGGAGCGTTCGGCGCAGCTTTCGACGAGGGCCCGCGCACATCGTGCCAGTGACCCGAGAGAGCGAAGCCCGCACACCCGAGCCCGCCGAGGCGCCCCGCGGCCGCAGCACGCCGAGAGGCAGACCGTCGGGGGAAGACCCGGAAGCCGCCGCCCCCACCCCAAGAGGGAGCCCGGGCTCACAGGCCACGGGCGGGGCTCGCCAGAGGGCCCCCACGCCCCGCTCCCGCGCTCCGTCCCGCCCTGCCCCGTGCGGCCCCCCTCCTCCCCCTCCTCCTCCTCCTCCTCCTCCTCCTCCTCCTCCTCCTCCTCCTCCTCCTCCCCCTCCTCCTCCTCCCTCCTCCCTCCTCCTCTCCTCCTCCTCCTCCTCCTCCTCCTCCTCCTCCTCCTCCTCCTCCTCCTCCTCCTCCCCCCCGACCCTCAGCGGCCCGACACGAGCAGCAGGCAGGTGCCTCGCCCCCCCCCCGCCTCCAGGGCGATCCGATCCCGTACCGAGCCGATCCGATTTCGCGATTCGATCCAGCCCAGGCCTGCATCCCTTCCGCCCGCTGCCCTTCCTCCAACTGTTGGGGTCCAACTCCTGGGAGGTTGATCTCAGCATCGGCACTGGCATATCCGTGGTCGAAAAATTGCCCCGTTCTGCATGTTCCCGTTGAGTGCCGCTAAATCAAATTTGATACATACGGCCCCACCCAGCTTAATTTGGCATAATCTGGTTCAATGGCTCATGTGATTGGGCCTATTTGCTGTTAGTTCGGGACGATCGGAGTGGGCACGGACATAATGGCACAAAGAGCGACACCATGTCCTTGCCATTTTCAACGGGACTTGATATCATTGTCGATGCGGGCGTTGTCCATTTAAGGCAGAAGGCCGCCTGCCCAACAGCGGCCGCTGTCGGTTTTGGACAACATGTGTTGTTGGGCGTCCAAATATTGTGGCTTTTACGAAGACCTCCGAGACGTTGGCTCCTAGTAGTCGCCAGCCTTCCCCCCCCCTCAAACTTCCGACCTCCAGTCCGCGTGCCGACCAGAGGTCTCGACGAGGCCGTCCCTGGGGGCAACCTCCCGCCTGGGGTCCGCCTCTGATGGCCCCCGGGGGGGGCGCGACGACAGAGGTCGGGGCTGCAGATTCGGGGGGTCAGTGCCAGTGCGAACGGGGTCAGTCAGGGCGCCAGATCCGGCAGGATCCCGCAAAGCCCGACTGACTTGGGGTCTGGATTTGACCCAAGTCAGTAGATCCCCGAAGAGACCGAAATAGAAATAGCCAAGAGTGGTCACGTCGTCGGAGCCCAGAAGGTGTGTGGCGCAGAGGGTGGCGGTCTCCTGAGCGGGCGGGCAGGCTTCTTTGAAGGCAGGGCCCTCTCAGAATGCCCCAGAAGCCTTGAAGAAGCCTTGTCGGCGAGTACAAAGGGTGCGGTTACGCCAGGGTGTGGTTTGCGATCGGCGCCGTGGGGGCCTGGGGGGCCCGACACTGTCCTCGTCGGGCCTCTGCGGGGCGCGGCGGAGAGCTCCATCGAGGCCCCCGCTTGCCCCCCAGGGTGCCCCCCAGGGTGCCAGTTGCAAACCGCACCCTCTGCAAACCACACCCTTTGGAGACGCCGATCTTGGAAGCTGGGCGGGCTTCTGAGAAGTCCCCTTGCCTTCTTGCGGGCGGGTGGCACTGGGGGGCTGACCTGCATGGGGTGAAGAAGATGGCCCTGCTGGCTCCAAAGGAGGCCCCCAAAGGAGCCCTTCAGGGCCCTGGTCTTCACCCCCCATCCAGGTCCCCAGACCCCCGACGTCATGACTTTTTCGTTGCGTCGACCCCCAGAGTTTTCGACCCACTCCCCAGGACCGGCCCGTCATCCTGAGCCGTTGTTTGACGGTCCCGAGGCCCGGTAAGGGCGCCCCAGCGGGAGTTCTTTTTGAAAAAGAGCCAAAACCAAGCCGTATGGGACTCAGCACGCCAGGCACCCCTGTGATGAATCAACAGGGGCGGCGGATCTCGTGGCACTCGGCACAGCCCGCCATTGTGCCTGGTCTGTGGGTCAGGAGCCTCTTGGATGAATATGGGGGTCTCTTTAGACACCTCTCAGAAACCTGCCGTCATGATTTTGTCATTGCTCGAGGGGGCCTGGGTCACCCCCCATTACCACCCGCCCGATTATTGCCAGCCCCACCGCCTTCTCAGGAGGCCGGCCCCCCCGCGCCACCCCTCTGCGGGCACCGCCAGGTCACGCCGTCGGAGCACATGGCCCCCGCCCCTCCTCCCCAGAGGGATTCCCTGCGGGGGACCCACCCGGGCATGGTATCGGGAGCCTTGAGACGGGGGTCAATACAAATGGGGGTCAGCCAGAGCGCCCGATCTTGCAGGATCCTGCAGGATCAATGTCTCATTGACCCGGGTTTGGGTGCAGGATCCTGCAGGATCTTGCAGGATCCTTCGCATCGACCCGGGTTTGGGTGCAGCATTTTGCAGGGTCTTGCAGGATCCTGCAAGGCCCGATAGACCCGGGTCTGGATTGACCCGGGTCAGCAGATCCCCGATGGTATCGTGCGGATCCCTGGGGGACACTGCGGAACCGTTTTTTTTTTGCGAGTCGGGGGAGGTCCCGAGGAAGCCAGCGGAGGCTCATGGAGATCAGAGGGCACGTGTAGGAATCTCGAGGACCCAGAACTCCGACGTCGTGATTTGTTCAGAACGTGCCCCCCACGGAGGTCGAGACCCCTTCCCCAGGGTCGGCGTTGCATTCCGAGTCCTTCTCCCAGTACTGGTGCGCGCGGGCATGCGTGGGGCTGCCCAAAGCGACAAGGGCCGTGAAACTGCCGTGGACTGGTGCTGAAGGAGTGGACAAATCCCGGCCCCCTTCCCTGCAGCTGCTCGGCGTCCTCCCTCGCAGTGCTGCCTCGCATCTGACGCGACAGAGACAGAAGAAGTACCACCACCTACCCTTAAGTCGGGCCTGTCCCTCTACAGGGGGAATCAAATTACCCTGCGACGTACCCAACCCACGTGCATCAAATGGCAAGAGGAGCATGCCAACATTAGCAGGAACAACGACAGTGTAGACGCGGCGATTTGCTGTGCAAGCTACATGGGATGCGCACGCGTTGCACGATTCACAGGACGACGATCGAAAGAACGAGGATTGAGGCCCCAGGATCGAAGAAGAACGGGTACGGGAACGAGGGGTAGGAGAGGGATGGAATGGAGGGCGGGGGGGGCGAAAGGCCATCGCGGAAGCAGCAGCATGCATGGAGAAGGTGAGGCGGGGAATAGGACGACGATGAAAGTGGCGGGAGGAGACAGAAGACTGCCGCGTTTTTCAAGCGCGAGCTAAACCCGCAGCGCTGCCTGCGCCATGTCGTCGCAGAGTTCCACATGATAAAACTTGTTTAGAGTGCAAGGAACGAGCGAGGCGTAGCTCGCCCGCTAGCTTCTCCGCCTCCTTCCCGCACATTTCAGCGCGGGAGCTGAACGCTCGCAGGCGCGCCGCCAGGTCTGCGGGCGGCCCGCGGGAAAGAAACTCAAGGCCGGGGTCGCGTATCATCAATCGGTTGTCCATCGTCCAAAGTTGCACTGGCGACGTACTGGTTGAACGCGGAGCGAGCAGCATCACGCGCGTGCCTGAACGCCACGCAGGTACAGTGCACGCGCGATTGGGACTTCAGGTCGATCACGCGCGTCTCCACCAGGCTTGGCAACACCACGCGACTGAGGATCTCACTGCGGTCTGCCATGCTGCTGTCCGCGAATGCAATGCGCTGCCTGCAAGTAAGGCGGCGGCGTCCACTTGTCTCAGAAGATGTTCCCGCGGGCCCGAAGGGCGACCGCCAGCTCGAGCCGCGGCGCCGGCAGGCCAGATAAGGATCATGCAACAGCAAAGACGATGACAGAGCAACGAGGTATCGGCGAGTGCATGACCGGCCTCCGTTTCCTGCACTTCTTTCCTGTAGTTCCCCTAGCTCATCGAGCTCAGCAGATGTTTCTGCGGGTCCGAAGGACGACCGCCAGCTCGAGTCGCAGCGCCGACGAGCTGCGTCCACATCAGGCAACACCCCAGGAGACACTGGCACGCAACGATTTGACGTCAGTCAGTGCCAGACCACTCCATGTCTAGTTCCTCGCACACATACAGTCGATCGCAGATGCGGGATAGACGAAGTAGAATGACGGGTCCAATCTGCGTCCGCGCAGGACGTCACTATGCTGGACCCCGCAGCAGGTTTCGAAAGTGGCGACAGCTTCGTGGGCCCCACAGAAGCCTTCGAAAGTGGCGACGGTTTCACAGACCGTAGCCCCCCAGCGCTGGCGAGGTCTAATCTGAGTCCCCGTAGGACGTCACTCCGCTGGCCCCCCAAGCAGCCTTCGAAAGTGGCGACAGTTTCACAGATCGCAGCCCCCCAGGGATGGCGAGGTCTAATCTGTATCCCCGTAGGGCGTCACTCCGCTGGGCCCCCCACGCAGCCTTCGAAAGTGGCGACAGTTTCACAGATCGCAGCCCCCCAGGGATGGCGAGGTCTAGTCTGAATCCCCGTAGGGCGTCATTCCGCTGGGCCCCCCAGCCGCCCTCGAAAGTGGCGACAGTTTCACAGATCGCAGCCCCCCAGGGACGGCGAGGTCGAATCTGAGCCCCCGTAGGGCGTCACTCCGCTGGCCACCCCAGCCGCCCTCGAAAGCGGCGACAATTTAGCAGATCGCAGCCCCCCAGGGATGGCGAGGTCTAATATGAGTCCCCGTAGGGCGTCACTCCGCTGGGCCCCCCAGCAGCCTCGAAAGTGGCGACAGTTTCACAGACCGCAGCCCCCCAGGGATGGCGATGTCTAATCTGAATCCCCCTAGGGCGTCACTCCGCTGGGCCCCCCAGCAGGCCTCGAACGTGGCGATAGTTTCGCAGATCGCAGCCCCCCAGGGATGGCGAGGTCTAATCTGAGTCCCCGTAGGGCGTCACTCCGCTGGCCACCCCAGCAGCCCTCGAAAGTGGCGACAGTTTCGCAGATCGCAGCCCCCCAGAGATGGCGAGGTCTAATCTAAGTCCCCGTGGGGCGTCACTCCGCTGGCCACCCCAGCAGCCTTCGAAAGTGGCGACAGTTTCACAGATCGCAGCCCCCCAGGGATGGCGAGGTCTAATCTGAGTCCCCGTAGGGCGTCACTCCGCTGGCCACCCCAGCCGCCCTCGAAAGCGGCGACAGTTTCGCAGATCGCAGCCCCCCAGGGATGGCGAGGTCTAATCTGAGTCCCCGTAGGGCGTCACTCCGCTGGCCACCCCAGCAGTCCTCGAAAGTGGCAACAGTTTCACAGATCGCAGCCCCCCAGGGATGGCGAGGTCTAGTCTGAGTCCCCGTGGGGCGTCATTCCGCTGGCCACCCCAGCAGCCCTCGAAAGTGACGACAGTCTCGCAAATCGCCGCCCCCCAGGGATGGCGAGGTCTAGTCTGAGTCCCCGTAGGGCGTCGCTCCGCTGGGCCCCCCAGCAGCCCTCGAAACAGTTTCACAGATCGCAGCCCCCTAGGGACGGCGAGGTCTAATCTGAGTCTCCAGCAGCCCTCGAAAGTGGCGACAGTTTCACAGATCGCAGCCCCCCAGGGATGGCGAGGTCGAATCTGAGTCCCCGTAGGGCGTCACTCCGCTGGGCCCCCCAGCAGCCCTCGAAAGTGGCGACAGTTTCACAGATCGCAGCCCCCCAGGGGTAAGAGCAAGAGAAGAGAGGAGGAGGCGGGAGGAGGCGGGAGGAGGAGGAAGGTGGAGACCACACCCCAGTGCTCTATTCAAAACGAGTACCCAACGCAGGAGGGTTGGGAAAAATAGTCCGGGGACTATTGTTTGAGCATTTTTGAATATTTTTGGGGCATTCGTGGGGTACGTTTTATTTCTCGTCAAAAATCCCCCTGTAGGGGGACATGCCCGACCTAAATCTACCCCAGCCTCAAACCAGTCGAAAACGATCTCCACCGAGAGGTGCTGGCGGGCTGGAGGAATCCCGCAGTTCAGCGGATCTCCTGCCAACCGCTGGCCTCCCCGGCGGCGGCCTGCGCGCGCGCGCGCCCCCGCTGCGAAGGCCCGGCAGGAGGCCGAGCGCCGCGCCGAGGAGGAGCGGCGGCTGGCCGAGGAGAAGGTTTCCCTGCCACCCCTCCCCCCGCGCGCGCGCGCTCTGGCGAGGAGGAGGAGCACGAGGACGAGGAGGAGGAGGAACAGGAGGAGGAGGAGGAGGAGGAGGAGGAGGAGGAGGAGACGGAGGAGGAGGAGGAGGAGCAGGAGGAGGAGGAGGAGGAGGAGGAAGAGGAGGATGACTAAGAAGAAGAAGGAGAAGCAGAAGCAGAAGCAGAAGAAGAAGAAGAGGAGGAGGAGGAGGAGGAGGAGCAGTTACTGAGTTGAGGAGCTTGCGACTGTGCCGGTTACTGACTGACTGACTGACTTGAAGCCTCGATTTAGCATTGGCTCTCCCTGCCTTCTCAGCAGACCTGTAGGCCTTTGGCCACTTGCTGGCATGGGGAGGAGGAGGAGGAGGAGGAAGAGGAGGAGCCCCCCGAGAGGCCCCAGACTCCCTTCCGTTTTTTTTTCTGGTGGCCCCATGAGCCCCCCGGGAGAGCCCCCGAGAGGCTGCCGAGGAGAAAGCGTTCCTGCCCCCTGTCACGAACGCGCATCTCCGGCAGATGGCAGCGGATGGGTGCCCGCAAGGGCAGTCGCGGGGTTTTGCCATCGGGGGGCCCAGGAACGTCCTGCCACCCCATCCACTCCGACCCCATGTCGGAGGCCTCTACTGGGCCGGCAGGCGTTCGGATGTGCTCGTGGGTTCCCAGCGGTCTGCCAGCCTCGGGATATGCTCGAGCAGCTGCTCCTCGCCGGGATCGTTCTTGAGGTCCTCCGATCATCCCGAGCGGCCGCCAGAGAGCCGAGCTTGGGCTTAAAAAGTCGGGCCTGTCCCTCTACAGGAGGAATATTCAGAAATAGTCAAAAGTAGTATGGGGACGATTTTGGGTGTAGTTTTTGCCATCTGATTGTTCGTTCAAAATCCCCCTGTAGGAGAACAGGCCCGACTTAGGCTTGGGCCCCAAAGCCAGGGGCAACGTTACGGGCGGGGGCAGGCTCAGGTCGGCAGCATCGGCCCCCCAATGGCCCATCCATCCCAGGAGGGGAAAAACGCACAGACACAATCAGTCGTCGATTCTCAAAATATGGGGAGTGGGGGGGGAAGAGGAAAGCGCAGAAAATATTGGAAAATTCGGGGGAATCTTGGGATTTGTGTGCGTATTTAGTTGTGTGTCCCTGGGCCCCTTCCTCATCGCCGACAGGTACTTGATGGCCCACCCCGCCCAGGAGCTTGCTGTTTCTCCAGCGGGTGCCCCTCGCCGATCCTCCGGCGACGCATCGCCGACTCCGGCTGGATGCTCTCTCCCCTCCGGAGCCAGTCTCAAGTCGGGCCTGTCCTTCTACAGGAGGAAAATTCAAAAGAATTATCGACAAATAATCTGGGGAGGATTTTTAAAGCATGTGTCAGCTATTTTGAGGCACTACGCTTGGGTATTTTTCATTGTTCGCCCAAAATCCCCCTGTAGGGGGGCATGCCCGACCTAGAGCGAGTCATCCCCTACCGGTGCCCCGCCTGGCAAGGGGCCCGGGGTGTCGATAGCTCGATCTCAGACCCCTCCAGGTCGGAGGGAGAGAGCACAGGAGACGGCGGCACAGGCATGAGCTGTTGGACCTCCGCGCGCATCTCTGGGAACGGCGTTGGGACGCTCCTGGCGGCGTCTCTGGTGCCGCCCATGGGCGTGCGCCGGGGAGGGGTCTGGGGCCCCCAATCGGTGTGGTGACCACACCGCGTGGTGAGTCAGTGGGGAGTCGGGGTTACCCCGCGGTTTTTAGACTTGGGCCGTTCTCCGAGGATGTCTCGAGCGATTGGGGCCTCCGAGGTCCCAAGGCCGTGCGGTGACGGACCGCGCGATGAGATCGTTGGGGATGCCAAGGTCACCAGGTCACCACGCAGTCCGTCACCACACCGCGTGGTGAGTCAGCGGGGCTTCGGGGTCGCCGCACGGTTTTGGGACTCGGGTCGTTCTCCGAGGATGGCTCGGGCGACAGGGGCCTCCGGGGTCCCAAGACCGTGCGGTGACGGACCGTGCGGTGAGGTCTTGGGGGATTTCGAGGTCACCGCACGGTCTGTCAGCGCACCGTTTCGGACTCCAAAGTTGTATCAGACATCGCTCTCGCCCCAAGTTTGCGTCATCGGAAGGCCGCGATCGTTCACGGCGGAACGACCCTCACGGTGCTAGAGCCGACGTCATCACGACACGAGCCTGCGACGGGGGAGGCCCGCCCCACTGCTGGTGTCCCTCGATTCCAGCCGCTGGTGTCCCGATGCGAGCCCGGGTGGCCATCTTTGGTGGTGCTGGAAGAGCGAAGTGCCCAGGGCCCGAGGTGACCCCCGGACTTCAAGGAGGCATCACGGCCTCCTCCTGAGTACCCCTCACGAGGCCCAGAGGGCCTCAAGGGCGCCAAAGCTCCCCTCTCCTCCCTGCCACCCTCCTTCCTCATTCCCCTCTTCCACGTGTCTCCCCCCCTGGGCCACAGCACGCCCCTCGGCGGTACGTGGGCACCCCTCTCCTCTCCCTCCCTGCCTCCCTCCTTTCCCCTCCCCCCTCCTCCCCCACTCTGGCTCCTTCTCATCTCATGGACATCCGAGGCCGGCAAGAGAGGGAGAGAGGCAACAATTTTCAGTAAGTTTCCGCCTGCTATTGTCCTGAGAGGGATGCCTCGAGAAGCTAAACTTTGCACTGCTGTCTGCCTCAGCAGTTCTTTCGCACGATTCGGCGCCTGAAGGCTGCGCCCAGGCCCCATGTCCAGAGTCGTCTCTGCGGGGGCCTTCGGGGCATTTGGGGCTTCGCCCTCCTCTCTTTTTGGGGGGGTGAGAGGCTCTGCACCAGCACGGAGCACGTACACGCGTCCCACGTCAGCACCCCACCACCACCGTCCTAGCGGCCCCTCGCACCGCTGAGCGCCCGCGGTAGCCGAGGAAGTCCCCAACTCCTCCCCTACACAATTACTCAATATGAATACTACTCTCCTCCTTCCCCTGATGACGGGTTGGGATTGTTCGCCCCCCCCCCCCCCCCCCCCCGCGCATAGTTTTTTTACACAGGATTCCCCGGAGTTTGGTTTTCGCCTACATTTTTTCCAAAATGCTGCTCTCGCTGAGGCGCCGGCCTCATTTTCGGGCCCCGCTCGTTCCGAATCGTGCTCCCGCTGCAGCGCTGGCCTCATTTCTGCGCTTCCGCTCGTTCCGAATCGTGCTCCCGCTGCAGCGCTTGCGTCATTTCCCGTGCCATGCCACGGCATGCAATGCAATGCTAGGTTGCGTTCCGCTGCGCGATGCCATGCCTTCAGCTGAAACTGTGATATGCAGTGCTTAAGTGGCACGTCGTGCTATGCCATGCTACGCTTTGATCTTCAACGCCATGCTATGCAATGTTATGTTCGGGGCCGCTGTGCGATGCCATGCTTTGCGTTGCAAAGCTTTGTGATGCAATTGTTCACTACGCTACGCCACGCCATGCTGTGACATACTACGCTTTGCGGTGCTCTTCTACGCCATGCCATGCCGTGCTCTACAATGCATCGCGTACCCTTTCGGGATCATTGCCCTGCTCGACATCCGACTGTGCGAGTAGAGAGGGGATCTACGCCATGGTAAGGGATGGGAGGGAGGGGTAGGATGTCAGATATGACGCGAGCGCACCTAGCTTGCCTTCCTCCCCTTCCTCCTTTCCCCTCCTCCCGCTCGAGCCCCAGCCCGAGCCGCGGTCCGAGCCGCTGCCCGAGCCCGAGCCCGAGCCCATCCTCCTTACGTCCTGGCGGCTCCTTCGACAGCCGCAGGTCCGCGGAAGCCGAGGAAGCCCCCGACGCCGCTCTTGCGTTTTTTCTTGTCTGGGGGGCTGGCTGGTGCTGTGTCGTCCGCGAGGGCCGCCACGGGGCCTGCGCTTCGTGGAGCCGCCGCTGGCCACCAGCCCCCAGCTCCTGGAGCCAGAGTGCAGCACCGCGTGCGCGTCCAAGCCGTGGGAGGCCATGTCTAACCGACACTCGACTGGGGGATCGACTACAGAATCGATTTACCCCCAAATTGGTTTTCACGTCGACTCTCCAACAAAAAATACGTCAACAATTCTTAGATGTGTGAAAGTTTTACGAATTGCCAGAAATTTCGACAAGAAAACAAATTCTGGGGCAAATCAATTCCGTAGTCGATCCCCCACTCGAAACATGGCGCTTTCCAGACAGGACCTCGCCGTCCGCGCGTCTCGCCTTCTGCGGAAGGCCAGCGGGAGCCGGCGCAGTCAAAACGGCGGCGGTTCCGCCAGCGCAAGGTCGGCGGAGGGCGGTGGATGTAAAAGCGATGCGTCAACATCGTTTGGTTCAGGGCTTGCTGAGGCGGCCACATATGGATGTGTTTTGGGCGGCCAGCGGAGAGGCGTGGGTCGGAAGGTCGGAGGTTGCATGGGTCCCACAGGCTCCAGTTCTTGCCCAGGCGCAGTTGGCATCTCCCCAGTGGGCCTGCTGCCTCTCAGTGGACATTGGGCATCTGTTACGTATGAGGAGTTCGCTGAGCCTGCCCGTAGAAGGCCGCGGGACAACCTGACCAGAATCGACTAAGCTGCCCGTGTCCGTGACGCCGTGGCCCGCCAGAGGCAATTTTGGCTCGTGACGAGGGGCGAATCGGAGGCATGATGCCCGAGTACGGTAGGTTTGTGCCGTGTAGACGCAGCGGCGGCCCTGGCGCCCCGCGCTCAAGGGTGAACGCTGCCGTTGACCAAGGGTCGGCCAATGCTCAACGATCCCGCGATCGAGAAGGTGACGACCTTTTCAGGTTTAACGACCCGCGCGGCGCCAGAAACCAACGCTGGGGTCGTCGAGGCACGAACTTGCCCAAGGAAGGCCAAGCAGCACACAGATCAAGGTGTGCATCAGCCGTGGGGCCGACCCTGCTCCACTCGGCGGCCAACCCTGCCTGGGACACCCCAGGAGCCCCCCTGCGTCCTGCCCCCCGGGGCGGAGAGGAGAGGCACGGGAGGGCACCGCAGAGGGGGGCCCCAGGTGGGGGCAGGCCTCCGGCGCAGAGCTTTTCTTTTTTCGCGCGGCGTGGACCCTGGGCCCCGGCTTCAAGTCCCGATCGTGGATCCTTCGACGCCTTCCCTAGGCGTGGGTCCTTCGGCGCCTTCCCGCCTTCGACGCAGCGTGGATCCTTCGACGCCTTCCCTAGGCCCCGGCTTCAGGTCCCGAGGCATGTTGTTGGCGGGCCCAGGGCCAGGGAATGGCGCCCAGAAGCCGAGAATTGCTGAACATTTTGAGAAGCTTTCGCGTGACCCTCCCAGCCCATCCAGAAACGATGCCCACACGAGTTGCCCTGATCAGGCATGTGGGGGAGAACGCAGTGGAATAAAGGCTGTACCCCAAGAGGGGGAGGATAGAGTAGGAACCGGAGGAGGAGGAGCAGGAGGAGGAGGAGGAGGAGGAGCAGGAGGTGGATGAGCAGGAGGGGGGGAGGATGGGGAGGGAGGAGGGAGGAGGAGAATGAGGCGGATGAGGAAGGGGAAGAATGGGGGCAGGGCGAACGGGAAGGCCAGAGGCCTCTTGGATGCTTCTCGGAGTCTCTTTGGACTCGGTGGGCCTCTTGGGGGTCTCGTGGGAGCCTCTTGGGGGCATCTTGGGGGCTCCTTGGGGGCCTCTTGGAGACTCCTGGGCGCCTCTCGGGGCTCTCATGGGGTATTCTCGGGAGCCTCGCGGGCCATCTTGAGGCCATTTTGGAGGTGATCGATCAAAGAAGGGTGGTTAGTAAAGTATAGCCCCCCCCCAGGAGGCCAACATGTGGCCAAAACCTCATCAAAAGTGATGATGTTGGCCTTCTCGCCGAGGTCATCTTGGACGCTTCAGCGCCTCGTGGAACCCTCCGTCCAGGTCTAGGGGGAGGGGATAGGGGGAAGTGGTGTCAAACTACCCTCCTAGATAGCAGGCCGTCTAGCTCACTCCCACCCGCCCTCCCAACACATACAATATGTAACACCCGAGTGTCAGCAGACCGCCTAGGAACGCCACACATGCCATGCGCGCCACGGATTCCAGGTGTGCATCAGGAACCCAGGAGGATCAAGCGTGGCAGGTACGGCACATGCTCCACGTGCGCCAACTGTGGCACGTGCTCCAGTCGCGCCAGGTGCGCCAACTACGGGGAACCAGAAGGGACCCAGGTGCCTGGGGCCCTGGCCCCAAGGAGGTCAGGATCTTGAGTACCCCTGCAGCGAAATACCAAGCAGTATGTGAGAAAGGCGCCTCCTCCAGGGAGCGCTAAGCACCGACACTGATGGACACATTGTGACATCTTGAGGAGTCGTGAAGCAGATGAGAGCTCAGAGAAACGAGGGCCATGCGCGTGCTCCAGATGGAGCCAAAGTGTGTGTGCGCGTGTGTGTGTGTGCGTGTGTGTGTGTGTGAGAGAGTGTGTAAGTGTGTAAGTGTGTTATGTGTGTTGTGTGTTGTGTGGGTGTGGGTAAGTGTGGGTAGGTGTGGGTAGGTGTGGGTAGGTGTGGGTGTGTGGGAGGGTGGGTGGGTCGGTGGGTGGGTGGGGTGGGTGGGTTGGGGGGGGTGGGGGGGGGGGGGTCTGGGTCTGGGTCTGGGCGCGTGGCGGTGGCGGGGTGTGGTGGGTGTGGGTGGGTGTGGGTGGGTGTGGGTGGGGGTGGGCGTGGGTGGGTGTGGTGTGGGTGGTGTGGGTGGGTGTGGGTGGGTGTGGGTGTGTGGTGGGTGTGGGTGGGGGGTGGGTGTGGGTGGGTGTGGGTAGGTGTGGGTAGGTGTGGGTAGGTGTGGGTAGGTGTGGGTAGGTGTGGGTAGGTGCGGGTGGGTGTGGGTGGGTGTGGGGGTGGGTGTGGGTGGGGGTGGCTGTGTGTCTGTGTGGCTGGTTGGGCGTGTGGGCGTGTGGGCGCGTGGGTGCGCGTGGGTGCGCGGGGGTGCGCGTGGGTGCGCGTGGGTACGCGTTGGAGCGCGTGCGTGTGCGTGTGCGCGTGCGTGTGCGTGTGCGTGTGCGTGTGCGCGTGCGTGTGCGTGCGCGCGTGCGTGTGCGTGTGCATGTGCATGTGCGTGTGCGCGTGCGGTTGCGTGTGCGTGTGCGTGTGCGTGTGTGTGTGTGTGTTTGTGTTGTATGTTTGACAGGGATGGTCGGCCTGCGCGCAGCAAGCAATATGTGGCACCCCCCCGTCCTTTTCAACAATATACGCAAAATGGCCAGGTGGCGCCCGCGCATGCTCCAAATTTGGAGGCATAGTGAATTGCGCATTGTTTTTACAACGGATCGTGGGGGGATCATGGGTGCGGGTCAGGTGCCAGTCGCTTAGGGGAGGTGGTGCCTTTTGGTAGGGAACAGTGATAAGCCCCTCTCCGACTCCCCGGTGTGGAATGATGGGGTTGGAATAGGAAACGTCCTAAACCACGCTGGTGGGATTTCGGTTATGGTTTCTTCGCGATTCGAGGCGGTCAGAGGAGGAGGGCTAAACTTCCCGCGCCGCGCCGCCCCGCAGGCCCGCGAGGCCGCAGAGCGCAAGGCCGAGCGCGCCAAGCGCGCCGCGGCGCTCAAGGCGGAGGCGCCCGCCGGCCGCGTCCCCGCGCGAGCGCACGCACGTGCCCGCCCCTGCGCCGCCCGCGCTCGCCGCGGCGGCCCCGCCCCCGCGCGACCGACGTCGGGCAGCGCGCGGCCGCGCCGTTGCGCGGGCGGCTCGTCGGTCCGACGGTGCGCAGAACGATCGGACGGCGTCGCTGGTTTAGGCCGCTTTTTCCGGGGGTCTTCGACGTCGTCGGGCCAGGAGTTTTTGCAGTGGTTGCAGGTTTTCTGGGGGCCGTTTGTGGTTCTGGGAGATTTGGGGCGGGCCGTGGGGCAGCATCTCGAGTGACCATGGCCACGCTCACCTTGAGCCCAGGATCCGTGTACACGCTTCCCTGGAAGAGCCAGCAGGACGTGTAGACCGATCCTGGGCGCATGATGGGCCTGGCCTGGGGTAGTGTATATGCACAGAAGGCCCTCCCACTGGACCCCCTTATTCCAACGACAAACCAAAGCCAGAAAGACATGGGAAACCTATCCCACGCCGTGCCCAGAAGCACCGCAGTGAAGGAGGGAGGAGGCAGGTGAAGGAGGATGAGGAGCAGTGCAAACCTAAGGCGCATCAGTGATTGTGCAACAAACCCTCTCTCGAAGTTCCCTTTTCGTAAGTCGCTACAAGGACTTCATGTTCATTGCGGGAAGTGCGTTTTCGGACGACAGGCGTGCCAAAACAACATGGTTGGGACTTGACGCCGCAAATCAACGTGACTGCTGCGCCCTGACAGCCGTAAGTCGTGCTAGAACACCATTCTTGGGACTGAAATGCCGCGAAGCAACGTGACTGTTGCGTCATGACAATCCCAAATCGTGCCAAGGTACCCTTCCTGGAATCCAACCATTTGAATCCTTGAAACTGCTGTGAACTTTGAGGACCATTGCCCGCTGCGCTAAGGCGATAGCCGGAGTTTGAAACTGATCCGTCCTCTATCTGTGGAGCTCTTACAAACTCAAAGGACGAGTATGCGCGGCCCTACGGCGAGATTCACACTGTGAAAACGAACAAGCCTCCATCCGTGGAGTTACTTCAAACTTCAAGCTTCGGGATCATGATTGATGTGGGGGTCTCAGGCGAAACGCCCAGCCCGCCCTACTGATACGTCTAGAGGTGCGACAAGGAGGAGGTGTGCATACATATATGTATATAAGGACAAGGCATGGAGGAGGAGGAGGAGGAGGAGGAGGAGGAGGAGGAAGTGGACAGGACCCATAGCTCCGACGTCGTGGCTTTGTCACAGCGTGGGCCACTGCAGAGGTCTGGGCCTTTTCTATGGGGACCAGGAGCCGCCCTACAACAGTACGGAGATGGACCGTGCGGTGACATCGCTGGGGATATCGAGGTCACCGCACAGTCTGTCACCGCACCGATTTGGGACCTCAAAGCACAGCCGCGTGTCTCACGATGGTTGGTTTGTTTGTGTGGTGGGCGGCTGTATGTATTTATGTCCACGGTCGATGCAGTAGACCGTTTTGCGGCGCCGGTGGCGCTGACAGCGCCCGAGGCCTAGCAGGTCAGCATGGCGCTTGGACTGCTGCTTTCCAACAGTTCTGGAGGGGCTGGTGCCCGTGGATGAAACGAGTTTTGAGTCGCCATCTCTTGTCTCATTGGGGCTCCTTGGGGGGTCACCGCGCCGATCTGGGATCCCAAAACGCAGCCCAGGGGAGGGACCCCCTTGCATGACCCAACCACCAGACTGGGGCCCCGCCTGCTCCAAGTCTTCGGCTGGTCGCTGGCTCCACCCGTCAAGACAAGCGGCATCGACCACCCCGAGCAGGGTTGCGTCCTGGCCATCCCTGAGTGCTGGCCCAGCCAGGCCGCCAAAGGAGAGGAGGCACCGGAGGAGAAGGGGCAGGGGGAGGGAGGGAGGACGGACGGAGGAGGAGAAGAGAGGACGTGGGGGAGGACACGGGAGAGGCGAGAGGACGGGGCAGGACACCGAGACGCTGCGCGCTTCCTCTTGGGGGTGGCCGGACCTCGAGGAGCAGCCGCCAGGAGACGGATTCTTGGGAGCCCCGGGCCGCCGCGGGCCACCGCCGCGGCGAGCCCGCTGCGGCGGCCTGGGGCTCAGGCTCGGGGCCGCGGCGGCGAGCCTGCGCCCGCCGCGTAGGGCGCAGGCAGGAGCCCCTTCTCACCCTCGAACCTCGTCCCTCCGTGTTGTCTTCCCTCCTTCTCCTCCTCCTCCTCCTCCTCCTCCTCCTCCTCCTCCTCCTCCCCCTCCTCCTCTTTCTCCTTCTCCTCCTCCTTCTTCCCCTCCTCCTCCTCCTCCTCCTCCTCCTCCTCCTCCTCCTCCCCTCCTCCTCTTTTCCCTCCCTCCTCCTCTTTCTCCTCTTTTTTCCTCCTCTCTCCTCCTCCTCCTCCTCCTCCTCCTCCTCCTCCTCCTCCTCCTCCTCCTACCCCTCCTCCTCTTTCTCCTTCTCCTCCTCTTCTCCCTCCTCCTCCTCCTCCTCCTCCTCTTCTCCTCCTCCTCCTCCTCCTCCTCCCTCCTCCTTCCCTCCTCCTCCTCCTCCCCTCCTCCTCTTTCTTTCTCCTCTCTTCTCCCTCCTCCTCTCCCTCCTCCTCTCCTCCCATCCTCCTCCTCCTCCTCCTCCCCCTCCTCCTCTTTCTCCTCCTCCTCCTCCTCCTCTCCTCCTTTTTCCTCCTCCCTCCTCCTCCTCCTCCTCCTCCTCTCCTCCTCTCTCCTCCTCCTCCTCCTCCTCCGCCTCCGCCTCCTCCTCCTCCTCCTCCTCTCCTCCTCCTCCCCCTCCTCCTCTTTCTCCTCCTCCTCCTCCTCTTTCTCCTCCTCCTCCTCCTCCTCCCCCTCCTCTTTCTCCTCCTCCTCCTCCTCCTCCTCCTCCTCCTCCTCCTCAGGGCGCAGGCGCGAGTCCCTCCTTGTTGTCTTCCCTCCTGCTCCTTCCCCCACCTCCTCGGATCATTCCCCCCCTGCGCGGACCCCCCCCGTGCGTCCTGCCTCCTCGTGCTTTCTGTTTGAAAAAATTGTACCTCTTCCGCTCGGTCTCTCTTGTGATCCTGGACTTAGTGCATGCTTCAGCGTTCTTCTTCTTCTGCGCCACTCAGGAGGGAGAAGGATGAGGGTGATGATGAGCAGGAGGAGGAGGATGAAACAAAAAGGAGAGGAGTGTAGAGGGGGGACAGAAAACCGAGGAAGTATGAGGGAGGAGCATGGAGAGGAGAAAATTGATCTGGAGGGGGCGGAGGAGGAGAACGATGCAGGAGAAGCGTTCTGGGATGGAGGAGATATGAGAAGGGATCTGGAGGCAGCGGAGGAGGAGAAGGTCGAGGTCGAGGACGAGTGCGGGAGGAGGATGGTAATGAGGAGGAGGGAGTTGGAGGAGGGAGGGGGAGGAGCATAACGGTCGAAGATGCTCTGAAGGATGGCGATGGAGGAGGATGACGAATGAGGACTAGTAGAAGGAGACCGATGGGTTAAAGGGGGGGAGGGGAGAAGAGAACTCGCAGAAGCGCTGGAAACGAGGGGGAAGGGTCTTTCTACCGTGTTCCTCACCACGCTATCTGATTCGCCGGCCCACCCTTTTTACGACCACCCCTCTATCTTCCGACCCGATCCTGGCCGTGCAGCCGACCTCTGCAGGAGGGTGCCAGCTATACACCTTCACCAATCCTGGCAAGGCCGATGCTAGGCCCAGAGTCGGTGTTTGTGCCGTCCTGACCAAGCCAGGAGGCTGTATACACAGATCCTGGCTGCAGGATGGGCATGGCCTGGATCGGTGTATGTATAACTTGTCGGCGCCCTCCTCCTCCTCCAGCATCGGTGCGGCAAGCCATTTAGACCCCAAGCAGCGGCCGGAGCGGCTGCCCAGTGACCAGCGCATTTTTTTGTTGTCCGGCGCCATGGTCTGCAACAGGTGGGCCTCCTCTCTGGTGTTCTTTGCCGTGCGCTTGTTTCTGCCAGGGAGCTGAGCAAGAGGATGAGGCGGAGGGGGAGGGGGAGGAGGAGGAGGAAAAGGAGGAGGAGGAGGAGGAGGAGGAGAAGGGGGAGGAGGTGGGAGCGGAGGAGGAGGAGGAGGAGGAGGAGAAGGAAGAGGGGGCGGAGGAGGAGGTGCAGGAGGAGGAGGGGGAGGAGGAGGAGGAGGAGGAAAGGAGGAGGACCGCACCTGGCACTACCACGGTCTCCCCTCTCTTCCCCCCTGATGTTTTGGACGCCAGTCTGTTCCTCCTTCCTTCCCACTCTCTCTCTCTCTCTCTTTTTCTCCTCACTCGCCCGTCTGCCCCTGTCGAATTACACTTTATTTCAAATTATTCCCCACAGCTGGCGACTCCTGGAGCATGCGCTCCAGGAGTCGCCTGGCTCATTAGTTTGATCACCCCCCCCAGGGCCGACCCGGGCCGACCCGCCCTGCGGGGGAGGGCAACATCAGGGTACAAAGGAGGAAATGGAGGGTGCACATGTGTGTATGTGTGCACATCCGGTTTTATTTGCACGCGTAGATGTCTGTGTATACCGAATGGCCTTGGGCCCATCCCGCCACCATGCCTGGGCTTTGTTCAGAGGCCTCTTGTATGCTTATGGAGGTCCCTTGGGATGCCTCCCGGGGGTCTCTCGGAGGGGTCTTAGGGGCTTCTGGGGAGGCCTCGTGGGGGCATCTTGGGGCGTCTTGAGGGTCTCTTGGGGGACTCTTAAGCTATCTTGAGGCCATCTTGGGCGTCTCGGGAGCGATCTTTCCGCGCCTCGCTGCCTTCTTGAACCGTCTTGAGGGCCTCGCGGGGACCTCGCTGGCCCGTCCTGAGGCCCTCTTGGACTTGAACAAGTCATGCGATAAGATTCCGGGAACCCCAAGGGCCACGCGAGACGCCCCGGGAGATTTGAGAGCGAGGGTTGCGGGTCCCCTGAAGAATCCGCATGAGCGAGGGGCGAGGCTCAGAGGATTCGGTACGGGACCTGAGGACACGCCCATTCCGTGCCCAAGGGCACGGTGGCGGATCGACTTGCCTTGTCACCGCCCATTCGCGCGCAGTCGTGTACGAAC